GGAGGAGGCTCGTGGTAGAGCACTTGCTTGGCATGTGTGAGGCCCTGGGTTTGATCCTCAACATCACATATAAGTAAATAAAAGATTCAATGATAACTAAAAAAATATTAGAAAAAAAAAAAACTACAGGGAGGGGCTGGGGCTGTAGCTCAGTGGTATAGCACTTGCCTAGCACAGGTGAGGCACTGTGTTCTATCCTGAGCACCATATAAAAATAAATAAATAAAAAAAGATATTGTGTCTCTCTGTAACTTAAATAAATAAATAAATAAATAATACAAACTATAAGAAGGTGGGCAACATGTGATTAGGGAAGGGCATAAGAGGAGACATTGGTTACTGATATTGTTCTGCTGCTAGGTTTGTTTTTTTTTAAAGATATTTTATTAGCTATTGATGGACCTTTATTTATTTGTCTACACGTGGTGCTAAGAATAAACCCAGTGCCTCACACATTTGAGGCAAGCACTGCACCACTGAGCCACAATCCCAGCCCTGTTTTTTTTTGGGGGGGGGATTGGATTTCTACTAGTAGTTACATAAGTTACATCATTTAAAGCATTTATTGCTTGTGAGGCAATAAGATTTATATTAAAACTCTTACCAAAACTAAGCAATACCCTGTCTCAAAATTAAAATAAATAAATAAATAAAAGCCTGGGCCAGTGTGGCTCAGTGGTAAAGCGCCTCTGGGTTTAATCCCTGGTACAAAAAAAAAAAAAAAAAGCCAGGTGCAAATTCACAATAGCTAGACTGTGGAACCAACCTAGATGCCCTTCAATAGATGAATGGATTAAAAAAATGTGGCATTTATATACAATGGAATATTACTCAGCATTAAAAAATAACAAAATCATGGCATTTGCAGAGAAATGGATGGCATTAGAGCAGATTATGCTAAGTGAAGTTAGCCAATCCCTAAAAAACAAATGCCCAATGTCTTCTTTGATATAAGGGGGGTGACTCAAAACAGAGTAGGGAGGAAGAGCATGAGAAGAAGATTACCACTAAATAGGGACGAGAGTTGGGAGGGAATGGGAGGGAGAAGGGGAATTGCACGGAAGATGGAAGGAGACCCTCATTGTTATACAAAATTACATATAAGATGGTGTGAGGGGGAATTAAAAAAAAGAGAGAGAAATGTGTCACAGTAGATTGGGTAGAGAGAGGTGAGGGGAGGGGAGGGGGGGATAGGAAGGGCAGCAGAATACAATAGACACTAGTATGGCTGTATGTATAAATGTGATCCTGCAATCTGTACACATGGAAAAATAATAATTCATACCCCCATTTGAATCAAATATATGATATGTCAAGATAATTGTATTGTCTTGAGCAACTAAAAAAAAAAAAAAAAAAAGCCAGGTGCAGTGGCACACATCTCTAATCCCAGTGGCTCGGGAGGCTGAGACAGGAGCATTATGAGTTCAAAGCCAGCCTCAGCAAAAAGCAAGGTGCTAAGCAACTTAGTGAGAACCTGTCTCGAAATAAAATACAAAATAGGGCTGGGGATGTGACACAGTGGTTGTGTGCCCCTGAGTTCAATCCCTGGTACAAAAAAAAAAAACAAACCAAACCAAACCAAAACAAAAAAACTCTTACCAAAAATAATAATGATAAATAAATAGGTTCCTGGTTTCAATGGAAATAAATCTATTTTATTTTAGTCAGGATACTATTATATTTTCTCATCTATTAAACTGAGGTCAGTTATTAAACCAAGATAATATCTAATTTTAAATATGCTCGAAAGGTTAGAGTCTTCAAAGTTATATTTAAATGAAGGCCTATGAAACTAACTCTAGGTGCAGAAACAAAAAACTATTAGTATCTAGAAATTCCCCTCATGCTCCTTTCTTATCTCTAACAACCTTTTCCTTCTCCCATTCCCCACACAAAAATAACAACTATCTTAACAACTACATTCATCCTTTCCTTGCTTTTCTTTGTAGTTTTACCACCTAAACACACAATGCCAAAAAATTACAGTATTTTGAATTTCATATAAATGGAATTATTCACTATGTATTCTCTTATGTCCGGTTTCCTTTACTGAACATTGTGTGAGAAATAGATGTTGTGTAACAATGTTCATTTTCATTCACTATTTAAAACATATTTATAGGTCAGGCACAGTGGTGCACATCTGTATTTCCAACCACTTTGGAGGCTGAGGCAGGAGAATCACAAGTGCAAGGCCAGCCTCAGCAACCCAGTGTGTCAAAAATGAGAATTAAAAAGGGATGAGGATGTAGCTCAGTGGTGGAGTGCATGCCCAGCATGTGTGAGGCTCTGGGTTCAAATCCTAGTATTGCTTATTTCTATCCATTCTGCTGTTGATGGACATTTAAGTTCCCTATTTTTAAAAAGTATGTATCTTTTGTCTTTTTAGCTAGAAGAGTTTCTTGTGGACAAGGACCTTATATTAAATTTTTTAATTTTTTTTTTAGTTGTAGATAAACACAACACCTTTATTTTGTTTATTTACTTTTTTTTTTTTTTGCATGCTGCTGAGGATCAAACCCAGTGCCTCATACATGCCAGGCAAGTACTCTACTGCTGAGCTACAACCCAGCCTATTACATATTTTTAAAATTTATTTTGGTACCAGGGATTGAACTCAGGGGTGTTTTAGAACTGAACTATATCCTCAGCCTTTTTTTTTTTTTTTTTTTTAAATACAGGGGCACTTGAGCACTAAACCACATCCCCAGCCCCCCCCCCCAATTTTTTTTCTTGTTTCTTATTTAGAGAGAGGGTCTCATTGAGATGTTTAGTACCTCACCATTGCTGAGGCTGGCTCTGAACTTATGATCCTCCTGCCTTAGCCTCCTGAGTCACTAGAATCACAGGTATGCACCACTGAGCCCGGCCCTTTTTGTTTTTTATTTTAAGACAGGGTCTTGCTTAGTTACTTAGGACCTCAAACTTTCAATCCTTCTGCCTCAACCTCCCAAGCCACTGGGATTACAGGTGTGTGCTACCACCCCCAGATTTACTTTAGTATTTTAAATAATGATAAGCACATAATGGGTATCCTCAATTACATTAAGTATCAACTAAGCAAATAGGCTAATAGTTTAGGAGTTGAGTAGAAAATAACTAGAATTGGAAATCAATTTAATATATCTAAAGGTATAGTTATGCAACCAGCATTTTGTAACTAGTAGTACTTAAATAAATCAGAAGGTCTGACCTCTCTTATTCATCTAAGTGTTAAGTATTTATCACCTTTGTCAGATGTGGTGATGTATGCCTATAATCACAGTAACTCACAGGACTGAGAAAGGATGATCACAAGTTCGAGACCAGCCTCAGGAAATTAATGAGGCCCTAAACAACTTAGTGAGATCCTGTCTCGAAATAAAAAAAAAAAAAAAAAAAGAATTTATCATCTCTTATGCTTGCTGAGCCAAATGGAAGCTATAATTTTTTCAACTGTCTACAAAAGTAAAATTAGAACAATTTAAATGGTGGTTAATTATTATCCGCCCATTTTGTACAATAAATCACCCATATGCTAAATAATCACTATGATGAATAATAAAAACCATAAAGTCCAAGAAACAAGTGTATTCCCAAGTCATGAAATAAATGTAAATGTGTCAAAATATACTCTACTGTCATGTATACATAAAAAGAACAAATAAAATAAAAAAAGAAATATAAAAAAGAAGAGATTTTAATAGATGTGTGTAGCGTTTTCTAGTTAAGAACAATTATCGAAGCCAAATTTAATATTTTTCTATGTAAAATAACATTTTACTTTTTTATAAATTTTCAAAAGTGAGGTCAGTTATAAAAAGACACTTTCATGATATTTTATCAAAATTTTCTTGCAAAGGGAAAAATATTTAAAATATTACATCTATATGCTTTTAAAAATATTTTTAATATTTTAATTTTTAAAAAATTATTTTTTAGTTGTTGATGGACCTTTATTTTGTTTATTTGTATGTGGTGCTGAGAATCGAACCTAGTGCTTCATGCATGCTAGGCAAGCGTGCTACCACTGAGCCACAACCCTAGTCCCATCTATATGCTTCTTTATGTGGGAAGAGTGATGGGAAAACATAGTAAAAAGTTAAATTACAAATAGAGGATAATGTATACTACTAGAAAAAAAAAGCCAGAAAAAATTTTTTTAAATTTCTAAAATTAAAATAACCTTCAACTATTGATTTAAATTCTAACAATCCACAGAAGAGAATGTAAACTATTTCTGCTACAAAAAACCTACTGGTAGCCAGTGTGGTGGTGCAACCTGTAATTCTAGCAGCTTGGGGGGCTAAGGCAAGAGGATTTCGAGTTCAAAACCAGCTCAGCAAAAGTGAGGCACTTAGCAACTCAGTGAGACCCTGTCTCTAAATAAAATACAAAATAGGGCAGAGGTTATGGCTCAGTGGTAGAGTGCTCCTAAGTTCAATCCCTGGTACTAAAAAAGAAAAAAAAAAAAAGCCAACTCATCACCTATTTTTCTGTAAGACAGTGTAATTAACACACATTTTTTGTCTTTTAAGAATTTTTGCCCCCAAAGTTCAAGAAGATTTGAGTCAGGGCATGGTGGCACACGCAAGTAATCCCAGCCACCTGGAAGGCTACAGTGGTAAACTGCCCCATCAAGAAAAAAGGAGGGTCAGGGAGGTCACCCCCAGCAAAAGAAGAATGTGTGGGTTCTCTTTCTTATTTTAATAAGAGGTTACTATTTCACCATGAAACTGACTTTGAAAAGTACAAGTGCAAAACTTAACACTGCATTATCCTCTCTTATATCCTCTACAATTTTGTAATTAAACTATACTTCAAGTAATCATACTTCTCGATTTTACTCTACAAGTATATCAGACACCAACTTAAATTCCTCTATTTCCAAGATGATTTGAATTCATTTTTAAGGCCAATTTAGTCAAAACATTAATAAAAATATTTCATCAGATTACTTCCTAGTACATTCTAATATTTCAATATTTGAGACAGCCTAGCAAATGTAACTGCATTACCTCTTTATCTTTTAGTCCCAGGAGCAATACTTCTTCCATAAGGGTGAGGCGAATATCCTTAGAGTCTCCAGAATCTTCATTTTCTGGACTCCTCTCTTGATTAGTATCTTCCTCACTTTCTACCTTCTTTTCAGAGTTCTTGCTTATTTCAGTGCGACGGGTTCGGTGAGTTAATGTGGTCATTCTCACTTGTTTCTGGAGGGAATAATGAAAAACATCCATATATGTGCTTATGCAAATAAATACAGATATTCATACATACATACTAAAAATGTATATGAATAGGAAATATTTATAAACTTATAGAAGAAAGTAATGACTAGAAAAATTGGGTGTGAGACACAATATCTTTTCCAACTTTTTTACCAGATGGCAATGACAAGAAATCAAATCAATAATTCTACAGTCCTATAGAAATGATCACTGTTTAAATGTGCTTATTTTTTATGCATAAAAACTATAACTAAGGAGGAAATGTCCAGTGATACTCTTCTTCCACAAGATGGATCCCCATGTTAAATAAGACAAAATAGCAAAAAAATATGAGCATTCAGCATCAAAATGAACACAATAATTTATCTAATTTCTGAAAACATTCAATGGTACTATAGCATAAAACGCAAATAAACCGAAAATAAAAAACGAAAAAAAATAGAAATATGTGTTTTAATATTTTCTTCCTATACCCTAATGACTTATTTCATGCACTTACTTTGGAGACCACTAGGCTAGAGAATAACATTCAGAAAATCATGTGCAATAATTTCACATAGCCCTAGTTAGCCATCTTGGGAGTACACAAATAGCTGCTACCAAAAAACACTAGCAAAAATGTTTAAAACATTAGCGAATTCTTTCTCATTTACAAAAAAAGGGGTGTTGGGATATAGCTCAGTGTTAGAGAATGTACTAAGTTAGCGAGTTCAAGACTCTAGACTCAATCCCCAGCATTGGGGAAAAAAAATCAAAGCACATGTCTTTTTTTTAATACCATGCACTACAGTTGTTTAAAAATTTTAAATCATCTGTGGTAAAGTTTACAAGTTAGCCTATTTTACTTTATACAAATCTAGGTGTCAGTTTTGAAGATGATATACAATAAATATTTAAAATCAGGCACTATATTAAGGTATCTTTCAGATCAAAAGAAAAAATAGTATTTAAGAATTGTTAATGACTAGATCTGGTTCTACCTTCTAGCAATACTTCCCAATACTCTTAACATGTACTGCTGTCAAATCTTTTCTCAAATATATCTCATGCTTTTTTTCTGCCTCTGCTCCTTTGTCTTGCTGGGATTCTAACCCTTTTCCCTTCCTCTCTATATTTACCCATTCTTCAATGACCTACTGCCCCACCAGGAAGCCTTAAGTGAAATCTATCTCTATTACCCATATGCCCCATGGCCAGAATTGTTCGTTCCCTCCGCTGTACTTTCACAGAACTTTATTTATACTTACTTCCTTTAAAGTATTTAATATAGTTTCTCTTTTGGTATGGCTGTCTCTCAACTGTAAACTTCTTGAGGGCAGGAATAATGTCTTCTTGGGTTTTTATATTCTCCATAGCAACTAGCACAATGTCTTTAACGTTGTAACTGCTCAATAAATATATACTGATTAAAACGAATACTCAGAAATGCATGAGAACATTTAAAATAGAAATACAAATGAAGTGAGTTACAAAAGATTCTTTGTGCAAAAGTATATTTCAAATATAATCTTTGATGGGAGATGAGAAGAGTAAAGGAGGAACAGAACCATAAAATAAGTGCTTTAGGGCACTAACTCTTTCTGGCACTGAACTGGGATTAGTTCCTAACCCAATCCAAGAAACTTTAAACCTTCAGGGATGAAAAATAAAGGGGAATTTTCTTTGAGGAATCAATTTCCCTTGAACATTTACTAGTTAAAAATCCTACATGAAAAAACAAATGGCCAAGAATAAATAAATGAATAAATATTTAAAACCACCCTGTCCCCATAAAATAAAAAAAAATTATTGACGTTAGGAAATATAATTTTCCCGTTGCTTACCTGATGTTACCCCTGGGTTACAGTTGGACTCTGGCTGCAGCTTGTGCTCTATTTCAGGAGGACACCTGTTTTCCCCACCCCACCCCCGTCCTAGTAGGTGAAAAACTTCTCAGCCACGCAGAGAGCACAAACTTCCTGATCCTTCGATGCAGAAAAGGAATAACACATCAGCTTCCTCAGGATCACTAGGCAACCTACCTTGGTGTTTCTTCATTGGACCAATCAGAAACCCCCAAGGTTGATTCCAGCCAATCGGAGCTTATGAGGGGAGGCTCTCCCCAGGCTATTGTTGCGATCCAGACAAACATCACCAAAAGGAGGCAGGTTTGGGTTCAACCTGACAGCTGGTCAATCCAATGAAGGAACCTTGGTAGAAGAGAGGAAAGAGAGCTGCGCTCCCCACATCCACTAAAGTGGCCAATCAAAGCGTCCAGTAAGCTAACTAGAGCTGCCAATCGTAAAAGGTTTCTGTTGGGCATTTTCAATGTAGCAGGTGTGTTAAGAGTAGTAGCGTATACTGGGACAATTGGATGAAAAGCATTGGTATCCAAGCAATAAAGCTAAGACCGAGTAAAACATTTTAAAATTGGGTTGTTTTCTGATAGCTTAACCCTAACCTGACTGTTCCCAGAAAAACCTGATCTGAATTGGTTTGTAGACGTTTATTTGGTTTACATTTAACAGGTTGGGCACATTCCTAGCATGGCTTATATACCAAAATTCCCTATTCAGCGCTTGTTACTGACAAGCCCATAGCCAATGAATGTTTTTGGAATATGGCCCCTGAAATTACAAGAGGCTAACAGACTTAACTCTTCCTTTTCTAAGGGAAAGGAAATCGCAAGACTGGAACTAGGTCTCAGGTTTCTCATTAAAAGCAGTCTTTCACACTACCACTCAAAAGTTCTATGAAGTGTGCTCAACTGTTGCAAAATAATATCTACCGAAATGATCTCAAAATTAATACATAAACACTTTCTAATTAAATAAAAATTGGAGCCATGAAAGAGCCTACATACTGAACAACATTTTATTTATGCTGGTAAAAATATCAGTCTTTAAAAACCAGTCATCTTTTTTGTCCTATAGTAAAAAAATGTAAAAAAAAAAAATAGGTAAAGTACCAAATTTAAATTGTACATTATATATTACCATGTTAATACACTATTTCAAAGTATTGAAAAACATTGTTTAAATAACAACACAATGACAAACATCCAGTTAAATGGTAGTTTTAACATAGGTAAAAAGTGAATCCCTATAAAATTTTAATATGAAAATAAACATTATTTGCTTCAAAAATGGCTTTAGAGGGTTTAACAGTTAATATATATTTTTGTTCACTAAAATGGAAGGTAGATCAATATGTAGATAATAAACAGAATAATTATGGTATTTGTACTTTTGGTTTTATTCAAAAGTCCTCTTGAATTTATCTCAGGTTTACTAAGATTAAAGACAACAATACAATAGTTAGCTAGAAACTTCATTTCAGTGAATGAACTTCTTAAAACTACATATAAATGTTCAGAGGTAGGAAAAATACACCTTAAAATACTAATATAGCGTCTTTTAATTTAAATGTTGAGAAGAACTTTGCAAATGTGTAGTAGAAAAAGTAATTTTTACATATGTTCCTTTGGTTCACTAAATTTCCTCCTTTTTGGCACTGACTCTTGACTAGAAGAATCAAAGTGATGGAGAACCTGTCAAAAGAAGAAAACTACTTAGAATACTTTCCAGTGTTAATGTCTTTATCTTTTGTCATGTCTCTAAGGTTTCTTTAAAAAAAAATACCTAGCATACCAACCATAACTATTTTCAACTATGGTAAAGATATCTAGGGTATTTAAAAGTAAGGTAAAATTTATTACTGAACATATGTACATCTTTTTTTCTGGGGTGTATGTGGCCAATAGGGATTGAACCCAGAAGTGCTTTACCACTGAGCTACATCTCCAGACTTTTTTCATTTTTTAAGACCAGGTCTCACTAAGTTACTTAGGGCCTTGGTGAGGCTGTCCTCAAATCTGGGATCCTACTGTCTTAGCCTCTCAGGTTGCTGGGATTACAGGCAATTGTCACTGTGCCCAGCTTATAAGTACATATCTGATGGCTGCTGAAAAGTAAATACTTTCAAAGTATAAGATCTTCATTAAGGTTGTCATAGAGGTTAGAAGATAGATATACATGGTATCTTCAAAACAGTCAAACTTTTTGGGGTGATGAGAACGGAAAATATTTTCATTTACAAATACAAAAACCTTCTACCTTGGTACTTCTGTAAGATTTAAATCATGTCTTGATTTTGTACTTCTGGTACTTAGCAGTGCCTGCTAGATATTAGAAACACACACACACACACACACATTTTGTGCGTGTGGTATTTAAAATTGAACCCAGGACCTCGTGAATGCCAAGCAAACACTCTACCATTGAGCTACATACATACCTGGCCCTAGTGTACCTTTTAAGTGAATGGAAAGATGAATTAGGAAATTACTAATAAGAGCCCCTGAGTTATTGAAGTTTGATTTTGATGGGAAAAGTTGGACTGACTATGCATAACAAATTTAATTTTGATTTTGCCAAAAAAATGAGGCTTAATACATTTGGAAAAATTGAAGAACCAAATGTATTGAGGTTATTCCAGTTCATTCTTATGTAAATTGAAAATAGCATTAATCAAGTATATTTGATATTACCTATTTTATGTGTGGTACTGAGGATTGAACCAGGGGTACTTTTTACAACTGAGTCACATCCCCAGTCCTTTCTATTTTTTAAAACATTTTTTTAAATTGTTGATGGACTTTTACTTTATTATTTGTATGTGGTGCTGAGAATCGAACCCAGTGCCTCACACATGCTAGAGCCACAACCCCAGCCCTCTACTTTTTGAGATATGTTTTCACTAAGTAGCTGAGGGTGTTACTAGGTTACTAAGATTGGTCTCTAACTTGTGATCTTCCTGCCTCAGCCTCCTGAGTTGCTGGGATTACAGGCATGTGCCACTGTACCCAGCCTTTAATATTACCCTAATTTTAACATTTGATTTTTAAAAAATAGTCTTTAAGTTTTTAGTTGTCTAATTCTAACCTACTAATGGTATGAAAATTTTTAGTTGAAAAAATATGAGCAAGTATCCCAAAAAAGACAAATACTTTATCTGATTTGGTATAATAAAGTTCTGATTATGCAGCAACTATATACAATTTACGTCAAGAAAAGTTTTCATTCTCCTGAGATACTAGAAAATGCTATATTTTTTGGTAACTTTCTAAAGTTTCTAGTTTAGTTTTGATATGTAGAAAGCTCAGACGAATTTGTGATCCAATTTCAGTTCCATATAAACAACATGACTTGGATATTATATCATTTTTTTCATTCTATTCAAATTTTCCTGACACCAATTTTTATTTATTTTATAAATTTCTCTAATAACTTTAAATCATTCATGGAATGAGTCAATAGCTATTTACGTGGAAAATATCAATACACTGAAATACTGCATCTTATTTGATTATGTGTGTGTGTGGGGGGGTGGAGGTGTGTGTATGTATATGTGTATGTATGTGTGGGTGTGGGTGTGTATATACATATATATACATTTTTTAAAACCCAGATGCACTTTACCACTGAGCTATATCCCCATCCCTTTTAATTTTGAGACAGGTCTCTTTACCTTACTTAGGGCCTCACTAAGTTGCTAAGGCTGGCTTTGAACTTGTGATCCTCTGCCTCCAAATCACTGAGATTCCAGGTGTGTGCCACCATGACTGGCTTGTATCTTATTTTAAAATCACCTCATTTTTAGAACAAAATATTTTTGAACAAGATCTGAATATCAGAGCTCTGAGGTCTATTTAGGGATATGATCAAATTTTTTTAAATATTTATTTTTTAGTTGTAGTGGAACACAATATCTTTATTTATTTTTATGTGGTGCTGAGGATTGAACCCACAGGGCCTTGCACGTGCAAGGCGCACTCTACCACTGAGCCACAACTCTAGCCACATGATCAAATTTATTATGTTAATCTATAGTAGTGATATTCTGATACTTGGATTTTTAACATAGGTTAAATTTTATTCACAATAGGTATGAACATTATCATAAGACTTACTGTTTTCCCAGATTCAGGTTGACTTCTCTTCCGATTTTCTTTAGAAGATTTTACTGGTGGATTTCCATTTGCCTCCACAAAGATAGAGTAATTACTAATTGGTTATTTCTCAAAGAGCAACCAATAGTTGATTTTTCTTTAAATGAATGACTACATGCATTTTTTTTAAAAAAAAAAACAGCCTTATTTAGATGTAATTCAGATATTATACAATTAACCTATTTAAAAGGATACAACTAAATGATTTTAAGTATATCCAGAGTTTTACAAAAGTATCTCAATTTTAGAATATTTTCATCATCCTCAAAAGAAGCCCTAATATCCTTTAGTTAATACTGTTATTCCTCTATCCTCCCACCAGCCCTAAGGCTTTTCTTTCTCAACAGCTTTCCCAATTGTGACTTTAACATGAATGGAACAGATGATATGTGAACTTTTGTGAATGGCTTCTTTCAATTGACATCATATTTTCAAGGTTCATCCAAGTTATTGCATTGTACAGTTAATTCCATTCCTTTTTATGGCTGACTATTTCTTTGTAGGATTTAAGAAAATTCATTTTATCCATTCATCTGCTACTGGACACTTAGATTTTTCCTACCTTTCAGCTATTGTGAATAATGCTGTACATACAGTTATTAAAATGAATACTGGAAGACAGCAAATTATTAACTGACATAATACTATTCTTTAAAAGGACATATTTCTTTCCTCATGCTTGAATAATCCTTCCCAATGATAACCTCCTTTATATATTTATTATCAAATATTTTAATTTCTTGACATTTCCTAGCCCCAATTCAGCCATGATTCTCAAAATTTCAAGTATCCTAAGACTTCATCTCCAAAAACATGTGAAATTGAAGAAATGAATTTATGTCCTTAAAGTATCTTTTTTTTTTTTTTAGCATTTTTTAGTTATAGATGGACAGAATACCTTTATTTTGTTTATTTATTTTTATTTTTAAAGGAGAGAGGCTAGTTTTTTATTTCATTCATTTATATTTTTAATATTTAATTTTTAGTTGAAGTTGGACACAATACCTTTATTCATTTATTTTTATGTGGTGCTGAGGATGGAACCTAGGGCCTCCATAATTTAGGCTTGCACTCTACCACTGAGCCACAACCCCAGCCCTATTTGTTTATTTTTTTGTGGTGCCGGGGATCAAATCCAGTGCTTCATGCACGCAAGGCAAGTGCTCTACCACTGAGCCACAAACCCAGCCCCATCCTTAAAGTTTCTTAATGTTATATTACAAGGAAATCTTGCCTACTAATTTTGTAAAATGTTTGCCTCGCTCCTTATATCCTAGTAAAGAATACTCATCCTAAATGGAAGCTGGCTAGGAAGAACATTTTGCTGCTGGAAGTAGAAATTCTTGGCATTTCTTTATTTCTTGTTTTCATCAGCATACTGGTTTGCATGTTGCCATCTGCCAATTCTAACTTCCTATTGAGAATGTGGGGAAAAAAAGACCCCTAAAAAGGGCACCATAATCAGTGGTGTTCTGGTAAAGGTTTAACCACCAACTATGTGCCAGAAACAAACCCTGAGGCATTTGTTGATTTCCAATCAGTCAATACTCTGTTCATGTCCAATATCAAGCTACCAACATGATATTACCAGATGAGGGGTTGGGGACAAATGTTCTAGCACACCATTGATAGAGTACCCTAACTTTGGATATATTATTTCATATTTTACAAATGCTTTTTCTTTACCCTTAACCTTGAGAGTAACTTAAAGGTATATACATTCACATATGCATTTCAAGATGAGCGTCTTACTAAGTTGCCTAGGCTGGTCTCAAACTCACAACTGCCTCAGCCTCCTGAGTAAAAGGGTTTAAACATGTACCATAGTACCCAGTTCAAATGTAAATTCCTATTTAGTATAATTCATACACAAAACTAAAACTCATTTTGTTTTTGCTTAAGAACATGACATTCATTTAGTACAAGACATATATATATATATGTTAATCTTTTATGTATGTAAAATATTAATTTGTATGTCATTAAAAATACAATCAATTTATAAGACAGAACATGGGAATGTTCTGATAGTTTACGAAACTCCCTTGGGAGATTCTGAACAAGAGTATCACTCTCAAAGTTTTTTTTGGATTCTCCTCTCTAATGTACATTCAGTAAAATTAACTATTCTTTCCTTTGTGCTTCCTATGTATTCTATTAAGATTTCTAGCCTCGCAAGTGTGAGGTACTGGGTTCAATCCTCAGCACCACATAAAAAAGTAAATAAAGACATTGTGTCCAATGTTTAAAAAAAAAAAAAAAAAAAAAAAGATTTCTATGATAGTCATTTCTTGTTTGCTTCCAATTACCAAACTTTCAGCTAAAATTAGGAACTATGTGTTAACTAGGTTATATCCTCTGCATCTAGTAAAGTACCTGCCATATAATAGGTACATATTAAATATATTCCAGTAAATGAAATAGTAAAATAAACTCATATGTGGGGGGAAATTACAAGGTTAGAATGGAAAACAAACCTAAAACCTAAAAAGGCATTTACCATTTTATTCTGAAAGACTTTTCCACTTCTTGTTTTGCTTTCAGACACATCAAGTTCAGATGTTTTACTAACTAACTGCTCAACCTAGAAAATAAGTTACATAAAATTATATAACATAACAAAACACTTTCATATCATAATAAAATGGAGTCTAAAATTCAATCACATAAAATTTAGGGGCTTATTATATTAAGTTAATGAAAATCAATAATTTTGACTTGGCTTATACTGTTACAAACGGCACCAAAGTAAAGTTAGTAAGCTGACACTGTGCATAACTGACAATGTACTGAACTGAGACCGCTCAAATGATCACGAAGCACTACCCTTCCAGAAGATACGAACTTTAGCTCACTCCAATTTGAGAAAGGAGCTAGATAAAGGAAGGTAGGTAATTAATTATCAATCCATTATTTCCAGGTTCATATTATCTAAATCTGTTATTTCAGAATTTCACTGTATTTTACATGGAAAACAAAATTAAACATGTTCTGCTCCAAGGCAACAAAAAATGTATTTTACAGTCCATATATAATACAAAGGAGGGTGGAATTAATAATTGCATAAGATTCTATCTAGCTCTGAAATTCTATGAATAGTTTAAGGTTTATTTAAACAAAATCATGTAATAAACTCAAAAATTTTCAACATGTAACAGGCAGTTTTTGTTAACAATAACAAGTTCTAAATACTTATTTTCTAAAAGACCCAGAAAATAGAATATATGAAAAATCAAATAGTCTTATAAACAACAATCTCTTTTTAATATATGTATTTTTAATTGTAGCTGGACACAATACCTTTATTTATTATTTTTATGTGGGCTGGGAATTGAATCCAGTGCCTTGCATGTGCTAGGTGAGTGCTCTATGGCTGAGCCACAACCCCAGCCCCATAAGCAACCATCTTTAAAAAACAAACAAACTAAAAGTTAGATGGAACTTAATATTAAGTTTATACCTGAGAATGAGAAATTGAAAGATCTGGACTTTCTTTACACCTCATAATTTCATCTTCCTCACAAACCAAATTTGGTTCTGTAAGGGAAAAAAATGTTAAAATAGTATAAAATTGAATTAATAGTTAATCTACATTTTTGTTAACTTCTTACCGCCAACTTCAGAAACTCCAGAGTTTTTTTTCTGCTCTTCCATTTTAGTTTCAAAGTCAAAATCATCCTACATAATTATGTGAAGAAAAAAAAATGAACACATTTCAAAAAGAAATTTAAAAAATTGTGAAGTATTTATGAACAAATTTATTTTATGTGAAGGCTACATATAAAACTACTACTTTGCTCACTAGAAATAAAAGTAATCCTAGAATTTATATCACAAGGCAAGTTATTGATCCAAAAAAATATATATAATATATATATATATATATATATATATATAGAGAGAGAGAGAGAGAGAGAGAGAGAGAGAGAGAGAGAGAGAGAGAATTTTTTTAATATTTAGTTTTCGGCAGACACAACATCTTTGTATGTGGTGCTGAGGATCGAACCCGGGCTGCACGCATTCCAGGCGAGCGCGCTACCGCTTGAGCCACATCCCCAGCCCAATATATTTTTCTTTACTTTGTACTACTATTTTTCTTTACTTTGAAAGATTGCTTTAAGGACAAATGATAAAAATATACAACTTTCACTAAAATGCATGATGATTCCAAGAACCTTTAAATTTTATTATACGTATTATTTGAAAGCACTGAATGAGACATGTTGTACAACAAGCTATCACTTCTGTGCATCTAGAATTTTCTTTTTTTTTTGAGAGAGAGAATTTTTTAATATTTATTTTTCAGTTCTCAGTGGACACAACATCTTTGTTTGTATGTGGTGCTGAGGATCGAACCTGGGCCGCACGCATGCCAGGCGAGTGCGCTACCACTTGAGCCACATCCCCAGCCCTCTAGAATTTTCATACAATGTTAGGATATACTCTGATTATGCCTCAACTTTCCTCAGGAAGTTATTAATGAAGGATAAGCTCAGTCATGGTATGGTAGATATATCTATAACAGGTTTAAAGTCCAAATTATAATTATTGTTCCCTTTGTGACATATGTGAAAGAGATACAAATATTTTAAAGAATGCTACAAAAATCCCAGCCATATTTGTGTTTAAAGCAAGACTAGGATTTAGGCTTTAGGAAAAAGTTTTCTTCTTTGAATTGGTTGAAAATTTAATTTTCTATGTGTACAGATGTGGCCATAGAGCCTAGTTCAGAATAGTGATCCTTTATACATAAGTACTACAGTCATCATTTTGAATGAAAGAAAACATGAGGTAAGATTAGACATAATGTTAACTTTTGAAAAGAATAAAGTAAGATTACTTTCACTTTTGCTGGGAATGAGGCAACCAAAAAGGCTCTTTTATATTTTTCCCATTCATTCAATACTGAGAATACAATCTAAATGCTAGGCACTAAAGGATTATAAAATGTACAAGACACTTTTCCTGCCTTGCAGGAATTCTAAGATGCTTCAGGATCGTGACTTTACAGGCTCTGGAAAAATTAAAGTACTGGCTATACAAGTACTTAGTAGGGATATTGTAGAAAGGATTCTATCATTAGTTGGGGAACTGGACTAGTACAATGGTTTTCAAATTATGCCCTATAATCCTTGGGGTTTCCTCAGAGTACAATTCCAGAGTAGGTGAGGTGATGAGTGGCTGGGCCTCCAGGACTTTAATCAGAATAGTGTTTTTAAATTCTAAGAATAATGTTTGGACCAAGGTAAAAAATTTTAAAACTACAGACCTAGACTTTAAGGTGCCTTCAAACCTTGAGTTTATGATGATAATACAGTACTCATTAATGAAAGCTATTAAATTCCTTTCTTAGAATTAAGTCAAACATTTGTTACTATTGTACTTTGTAACTACTTTTAAACACTCACACTTATGTAATGTTCTTGGTCATCTTCTAAATCATCTTTGTCCATTAGGATTTTTTGAAGTGGTGTTTTCAATTGTTTTGGTGATAGTATAGCTGAATCAATATTTTCCATTCGTTCTTTCTCAGTGGTCACTTTTACTTTGAAGGTGTGAAAAGGTGTTGGAACTTCTCCCACATTTAAGTACATAGGCTCCCCTTCAAATATTACTCCTTCACAATCACCATCCTTAAAACCAGGAGGCTGGTAGTCTGGGGGTGTAACTGCAAAAAAGTTAAGTATAAACTGTCCTGTTAAGATTGAAAAAATTTTATTACTATTAAAATACACATACAGATTAAATTTCAAAGAGCATGGAAGGACATAAACTGAAAAATACAAAGTCATCCTCCTACTATTCACATTTTTTGGTACCAGGGATTGAACTCAGGGGCACTTGGCCACTGAGCCACAACCCCAGTCCTATTTTGTATTTTATTTAGAGACAGGATCTCACTGAGTTGCTTACTGCCTCACTTTTGCTGAGGCTGGCTTTGAACTTGCAATCTTCCTACCTCAGCCTCCCAAGCTTCTGGGATTACAGGTATGCACCACTGCACGGGCCTGTGCACATTTTATTTCCTAAAGGTAACTTTTCCTTCCTAGGACTGAAGGTAGGGACACTCTACCAGTGAGCTACATCCTTGGTTCTATTTATTTATTTATTTGTTGTGCTGGGAATCAAACCCAGAGCCTTATGCATGCCATACACACATTCTACCACTGAGCCACAATCTTAGCCCTTGTTCTTTTTATTTTTATTTTGAGACAGGGTCTCACTAAAGTTGCTGAGGCTGACTTAAACTTGTGATCCTTCAGCTTCAGTCTTTTTTTTTTTTTTTTTTTTGTAGTTGTAAATGGACAGAATGTTTTTTTTGTTGTTGTTGTTGTTGTTTATTTTTTTATGGTGCTGAGGATTGAACCCAGTGCCTCACACATGTTAGGCAAGCGTTCTTCCACTGAGCTACAGCTCCAATCCTGTCTCAGTCTTTTGAGACTCTGGGATCAAAGGGATGGGCCACCATGCCTGTGTAACTTTTAGCAAATTATTTTTCATCCCTGATTTGGTTTCTTTATCTGTCAAATGAGGAAAATAAGTTACCTACCCTCATAGATTCACTGTTTATAAAACAAATTAAAGCATTGTAAAATGTTCAGAAGAGAACTGGCAGAGTTAGTATTTTCTAAATGTTGTTATTATAGTTACCTTATGTTCTACAAAACATTATGAATGTAATAAAAGAATGCTTCATATTTACACAGGTTTTAGGAAATGCATATCCTTAAAAAACAAAATGAGACATATAATTCTGTACCTAGTTCTTATTTTTTATTTTTTGGTACTAGGGATTGAACCTAGGGGCACTTAACCACATCCCCAGCCTTTTTAAATACTTTATTTAAAGACAGGGTCTCACTGAGTTGCTTAGGGCCTCACTAAATTGCTAAGGCTGGCTTTGATCTTCCTGCCTCAGTTTCCCAAGTCACTGGGATTATAGGCATGTGCCACCACACCTTCTTCATTTAATAATCTCTCTTAGACAATTTACCAGAACATCCTTTGTTACCACTTGCACAGTATTCTATTCTACAGATGTATCATTATTTATTTATTTATTCATACCTAAGAAAGGACACTCAAGTTGATTCCAGTTTGTTCCTCTTTTAGTCAAATGAAAATTCTTATAAATATATAGTGTTACATATACAAGTATATTCTCAAATTTTTTTTAACTATAGATCTTTTAATTTAAAATTTTGATACTGCCAAATTGTCTTCTGAAAATGTTGCACTTATATGCATTCCCTCAAGAATGTATAAAAGTACCTGCTTTCCCACACCTTTGTCAATAAAGGATTTACAAATTTTACCAATTTGATAAGTGAAAATTGGCATATCACTGTTTTATTTCCTTAATTATGAGGCAAGTTATACATTAACATGTTCCTATCACTAGAAAAGTGTATATTTTCATATATTTAAAGAAGTGTAATTCTGGCAACTTGGGAGACTGAGACAGGAGGATCACGAGTTCAAGGCCAGCCTGGGCAACTTTGTGAGATTCTTTCTCAAAATAAAATAAAAAGGGGCAAGGGTTGTGGCTCAGTGGTAGAGGGCTTTGAGTTCAATCCCCAGTACAACAAAACAAAAAAATGAAAACAAAAGACTATTTTTTTCAAATCTTTCCTTTTCAAATAATGCTGTTATATGCGAAATTTATAATTTCAAAAAATATATAAAAATTAAGGTGCTAAAAACATTTGGAATGGTACCCAGACTGTTTTAATAATGGTATAGCACACAGGTACTGACTAAAACAGGACATATTGCAAATAATACCTTCATCGTAGTAAAAAAGTTTCATGGTCAAACAAACATCATTAGGTAAAGGTCCCAGATTTTGCATTAGAATATAAATCTTTCGAATGAGGAGAATACTTGCTTTCTTGGTATCGGCAGATGACATGCTAGATTCATTACTTTGATTTTTACTAGAAGAGAATCAGATATTAATTTCTTTCACAAAACTTGTGGCTTCTAATATCATAACTTCACATTTTAACTAATTGAGACTCTTATTATAGCACCATGTTAAGCAGAAAGTTACTACAAAATGTGTTTTAATGTCACTATTATAAAATTTTTAAATCACTATTAATCTCATTATTATAATCTCACAGTTAATTTTATGTAATATGCATTTTATGTAAGGTGTTTAAAGGAAACGATGGATTTTAATTATATTTCTAATCACTCAAGTTCCTCTTCACAATTGAAAATAGAATATAATTAGCTATATAATCTTCTTTGTAGCCACTCCAAGTCACTACTCCATTTGTATAGTCACATCTTGGAGGCTAATTAGGGGTTTGACAAATTTTAGAATTAATACTGAAATTTAGTTTTATAGTATTAATGAACAAATAATCTGTAAAATTAAAAAAAAAAACTACAGAACAGTACCTTATAAAGTCCATGATTGGTCCATTTTTTGTGTACTTGAACTTAAACTGGTAACATTCTGAAATTGTCTTAAATAGAAAACATTGCCATTATGTAACTGGTACATAGTTGTGGCTGCCAAATAGTTATATATGCTTTTTTATGACTCTTAACATTTAGTTAACAGTTTTTTCCAACATGTTGACCCCTATTGGTCCATTGACACTCTCAAGTCTTCATAGTCAATTCCTATGATCTGGATTTCGAGTTTTAGTCTAATTCTCCCAGTCATTGCAATGTGTTATGTGTATCAAGTGTTAAGAACTCTTTAGTAAGCAGGCAAGAGGGAGATAATACCTCAACAGAATGTGTTCCCCAAAGTTCTTGTATTAAACACAATCCCTAATACAACAGTGCTGAGGGGTGAGATTTTTAAGAGAGAATTAGGTCCAGAGAGCCTTTATTAATGGATTAATGCTGTTTTATCACAGGACATATTGCAAATAATACCTTCATCATAGTAAAAAAGTTTCATCTATTGTGGCAGTGGGTTCCTGATAAAAGGATGAGAGTTTGAGCTTTTTTTTTTTCCCCCTCTTTCTGTCTCTTTGGGCTTTTTCTTCCCTTTCTTTGTCTCTTTGACCCATGCTCTCTTGTCCTTCCATCTTCCACCATAGGATGATGCAGCAAGAAAGCCTTTACCAAATGCCAGTGGCCCCTAGATCTTGGACTTTGCAGTCTCCAGAATTGCAAAAAAATTAATCTCTCTTTTCTTATAAATTTTCCAATTTCAAGTATTCTGCTATAGCAGCATAAAACATTAAGACACTGCCATAGCCATGTGGTAGCATATGCCTGTAATCCCAGTAACTCAGGACACTGAGGCAGGATGATCACATGTTCAAGGCCAGCCTCAGCAATTTAGTGAGAACCCTGTCTTAAAATAAAAAATAAAAAAGGGTGGTGGGCTTAAGAGTGGCCCCAGGTCCAATCCCCAGTATCAGATGGAAAAAAAAAAAACAATTATTATGGTTTGAAAGTCACTATTAGAACTCAGAACTCAAACTGAAATTTAATCTTCAACCTGAGGTATTAAGAGGTGGGACCACGAAGGTCCTTTAAAAAGGGATTAGATCACGAGGCCTCTGCCCTCATGAATAGACTGGTCCATTCATGGGTTAATGGATTAATGGGTTAATAGATTATCTCCAGAGCTGGTCTGTTATAAAAGACAGTTTGACTCTGTCTCTTGTATGAGACTGTCTCTTTTCATTATTTGATGTGTGTGCCACCTTAGGATTCAACATAGAGTCCCCAACAGCAGGAAGGCCCTCATCTGATGTGGCCCCTCAATCTTAGATCCAAGTCTCCAGAACTATAAACTGACTAGGCCTTTATTCTTTTACAAGTATCCCATTTTTGCTATTTAGTTACAGCAACAGAAAATGAACTAAGATATACACTAAGCACAGGGTTTAAATCTTTACCATACTGTAACCATATGCAAGCCATTTAAACTTTGTTTTCCAACCTAAAAAACGGTTGGAGACAGTACCTAGCTAATTGGTAATGGTAAATTTTATCAAATGGGATAATTTATACAAAGCCCTTAATAAAGTTCCTGACATACATTAAATATTCCATAATATCATTAGTACATCAGTAAAGTTGTTTATTTACTGATAGAAAAGTACACAACTATAAAACATATGGTAATAAACATTTTCAGAACAATTAATTAGTTTTCTGAACAATCAACTAATTTATATCCTTTGCGAAAATCATGTGCTTTGTCACTATGGGCGTATATTAAGCATTGATAGCCAGAATGACTATCAGAGAAGATATATTCCTAATCCTCCTGAAGCTTGGAATACTTTGCTTTCTTTACATGTCAGTGCTCACATAAAGAAAGGAAACAGTTCTCTTTTTTAAAAAAAATAATTTTATTTATTTATTTATTTTTATGTGGTGCTGAGGATCAAACTCAGTGCCTTATGTGTGAGAGTGTTCTACCACTGAGCCACAAAAACCCAGCGCCCCATCTTTGTTTTTTTAATAAGTTTAAATCTGCTTTTCCATGACTGTGTGAAACATTATATTTTAACACCTGTAATGTAATGGTTAAGCACTTAGAGACCATGGACAAGAAACCTTGTACCTAGATTTCCTAATCTATAAAGTGGAGATGATAATGGTAATTACCACATGAAGGCGATGATGAATAAATGAAAGTGCTCACAAAGTCTAAGAATAGGCACTACTATAAAATATGCATTCAGTCATTCCCTCTTGTTTCTTCTCATTTTCCCTTTCATTTCTTGTTCTGCCTCTCTCCTTTAACTGTAGTAGATGTGCCTCAATTGAGATGAATAGTCAAAGTTTAAGGATGAGTTCATTTTTTCTCAAAACTCATGTCTTTTGATAATTGCAGATAAGGAATATTGTAATTAAATAAGGATCAGGCAATTTAGGTCATATCTAACAGTTTGTAAGTTTTGTGGGCTAGGATCAGTTACATAATTTCGCATAGTAACTGTATTTATCTGTTTAAACAGAATGATACAGGCCCTGACTCACTTCAGAAGACCTTTACAAGGTTTAAACATGAAAATACATACAAAACATGTTGATTAAAGCACAATTAAAAGCATAAAATATAAATATATTGTAGTTTTGAGTTATTTTTGACATTAGAAGCATTATGTTTCTTTACTAACTCAAGAACACGCACCTGAGGGTCTTCTGGATTGGTGTATACCTATTTAAAAATAATTTATAGTTGAGTTATCTGAGGTTAAGTATTCAAGAAAAAGTAAATTGGACATTTAAAGTAAAAGTATTAAGTGAACTCAGCAAAGCAAAACAAAAACAAAAATGACCACCCAAAATATTAGTTTATTACTTTTTTCCCATTGAATAGATCAGTTGTTTGAATAAAGTAACATAAACAATTCATAGTTTTAGTGTCATTAATAAAGCCAGGCTAAATTGACAGTCTTTAAAAAAATAACATACAACTTAAAAATACTTACAGCTAGAACGACCATCCTTAGCTGAAATACAACAAAGAACAAAAACCTTATTTGTATCCTATAAAATTAGTTTTTCATGATGGAGCACAAAAATTCTGTGAACTAATTTAGGAGCTGGAAATGTAGGTTGGTTATAGAGCAAAAGCTTAATATGTGAGTGGCCCTGGGTTCAATCTCTAGCATCAAAATATCTAAAACAAATAAATACAAAAAAACTTTGTCTTATTTATTAAAGATACACTTTATATCATATCTGAGGCAACACTTTCCCTATGCTTCTCTATTCCCCAAAATATCTATTTCTGCTAGAAATGATGGCTGAAATTCATGTCAGCATATTATTTGTTTTAAGAAAAACAGGACATTACTGCCAGTTAGAAGAAAAATATATATTGTGAGACAACATGTTAAAAGTTAGCAACATGAGTATGATTTTTTGGTCAGGGGATCCTGGGGCTCAAACTCAAGGCCTCATGAATGCTAGGCAAGCACTCTACCATTGAGTTATAACCACAGTCCCTAAGTTCTGATTGTGAAAAGAGCAAAAGTAGAGAGCTCAGGGTCCTATGCATTTAATAAAGGGGAGAGGCTTTGGAGACCATAGGAACAAGAACAACAAAAAATCATAGAAATTATTCACCTAACTGATCTACCAAAAAATCTAGAATCATCATTGATTCTAATTTTTTCCTTATATTTCACAACCAATTCATCAACCAATCCAATCAGTTCTACTCCCTTATCTATTCTGAATCTCCTCTTCTGTCATCCTAAGTCATCATTAGTTCTCATCATTACTATAGTAATATCCTAAGTGCTATTCCTCCTACTCCCAACATTATTCTCCTTCTATACATATTCTCTAAACAGTAGACACATTTTTAAACAATGTAAAACATAAACCAAATGATGTTATATTTCTATTTAAAATCTTCAATGACTTTTCTTTGCCTCTGAAATGCAAACTATTTACCTATATAACATTGAATGCTCAGACTCAAAATTATTTTCTAAGGCTCATCTCATGCCATTCTTTCCCATGGCATTATGACCCAGTCATTATGACCCTCATTTTCTTCCTGTAACTCAAATTGCTCTATAATTCTTTGCTGATCATCCAGGAATATTCTCTCCCCAAATCAATGTCTGGCTGATTTCTTCTCATTCAGGTCTCAGTTCAAAAGTCATCTCCTCAGAGAAGTTCCTCTGATTATCCCATCTAAAGTATGTTCTCTACATTTATCGCATACTTTTCCTAAAAAAATTAATGGCATCTAACACTATTGGAAAGTATCTATTGACTATTTTCCTACTATAAAAGGGACCCTCTTTGTTTTGTTGACCACTATTACCTTACCCTGGTCCTACCTAGAATATGCATCTTGCATATAGTAGGCACTAAATATTTACTATGTCTTCATGAGAAAGGTTAGGGACTATGGATAAAAATTCACCCTCACAATTTTGCTAGAACTGGATCTCTTTATAGATGTAGTATAAAATTACATTAAGTATGTAAAAAGGCTTAGTCTATTTAAAAAAACTTCATTAAAATTTCATTAATTCAGAATTTGTTGGGCTGGGGTTGTGGCTCAGTGGTAGAGCGCTTCCCTAGCGTGTGTGAGGCCCTGGGTTCGATCCTTAGCACCACATAAAATAAATAAATAAAACATAGGTATTGTGTCCAACTACAACTAAAAAATAAATATCTTTTTAAAAGTATTTATTCTTAAGTTTTATATGGACATAACATCTTTATTTTACATTTATGTGGTGCTGAGGATTGAACTCAGTGCCTCGTTTACGGTAGGCGAGCACTCTACCACTGAGCCACAACCCCAGCCCCATAAATATCTTTTTTAAAAAAATAAATTATGGGGTTGGGAATGTGGCTCAAGCGGTAGCGCGCTCGCCTGGCATGCGCGGGACGCTGGGTTCGATCCTCAGCACCACATAAAATAAAATAAAGATGTTGTGTCCACCGAAAACTATAAAATAAATATTTAAAAAAAAAATAAAAATAAAAATAAATTATTTATTTGTAGTCCTGGGGATTGAACTAGAAAAATGAACTACTTCATTTTTGAGATAAACCAGGGCATATGAGATAAGCACCCTGTCACTGAATTACATCTTGAGGCCAAGGAAATTTGTTTCTGAACCCTAATTAAGAAATAATTTATTAAATTATTAGTGTAAAGAAGATTGTAAAATGCATGTGAAACTAATAAATGGACTATAAGTTCATTAATTCTTTAAGTTAGTATGTGCTACTAGTACCAATGAATATTAATTAACCAAAACCAGCTTGGCAAAATTTCTTTGGTATTAATTATATTAGGCTTAAAATGAGTTGAAGATTAGGTTTTAAAATATTCAAATGTTCAAACTTTTCAGTAACTCAAACTGGCCTATGCCCAAGTTAATTTAATGTTTTACTACATGTCAATTCCTATCAAATTTATAGAATATAAAATAAAGAAGTAAATTTGTACTGAAAGACTTACATATTTTTTCTGTAAAGCATCATAGCATCCTAGCATCCTAAGAAAGCCAAAAATTCATTTTAGATTAAATACATTTCTAGAAAATAGATATTTTCATAAATCTCTATACTAGCTCATTACTAAATAATACCCAAATTTCTTTTTTTAAATATTTTTTTAGTTGTAGATGGATACACAATATCTTTATTTTTATGTAGTGCTGAGGATCGAACCCAGTGCTTCATTGATGCAAGGCAAGCACACTACCAGAGCCCCAGCTCCAGCCTCCAAATTTTTTATTAAAGCACTCTGCTATGTTTTTTGTTTTTTTGTTTTGATATTGAGGATTGAATCCAGGGGCTCTTTGTCATTAAACTATGTTTCTAGGCCTTTACTTTTTTTTTTTTTTTTAATTTTAGACAGGTTCTTACTAAATTGCTGAGGCAGGCTTTGAAGTTGAGATCCTCTAGAGTTGCTGAGATCAGAGGTGTGTGCCACTGTGCCCAGCAAAGCAACCTCCTTATCAAAGAGCTTAAAACAAAACAAGAAGATGAATAGGTTGGTGCACATCTGTAATCCCAGTAACTCAGGAGGATGAGGCAGGAAGTCTAGAAGTTCAAAGCTAGCCTCAGCAATTTAGCAGACCCTGTTTCAAAATAAAAAATATAGGGCTGGAGTTGTGGCTCAGTAGTAGAGCACTCGGCCTAGCATGTGCAAGGCCCTGGGTTCGATCCTCAGCACCACGTTAAAAAATATAAATGAATAAAGGTATTGTGTCCAACTACAACTAATATATATTTAAAAAAAAAAAATATATATATATATATATATATATATATATATATATATGATAAAAAAATAAATAAAAAATATAAAGGGCTGAGGATGTGACTCAGTTGTTAAGGGGGCCCTGAATTCAATCACTGGTACCAAAAAGAAAAACAAAACAAAAACAAAAACCAAGATAAAACATAAGAAACAATATGGCAGAAATATAAAATGATGATGGGGATGGAAGGCAACTATAACATATTTGACAGCTATTTAGAGGAGCGATAATAAGAAAATGAAGCTCCTCATTTCAGGCATGAAATAAAAGAAAAATTAAATGCATAAATCCAAAGATCTGAAAAAACCATACCCAGTGTTGGGGCTGGGGCTATAGCTCAGTAGCAGAGCACTTGCCTAGCATGTGTAAGGCAATGGGTTCAACCCTTAGCATCACATAAAAGAAACAAATAAAGGCATTCTGTCCCTCTACACCTACAAAAAACATTAATAAATTTTTTTTTAAATGTTACCCAGTGTTAATTGGTTAATCACAAAAATCTGGTTAAACACTGAAAGGTATTTAATGTATATAAAAATGTGATTTTGAAAAATCATTATTTATCTTTAGGAATTTTTTTTTTTTACTTACCACTTCACTAACTGTGTTGATCCTGGACAATTTTTATCTTCTCTCAGAATTTTGACACAAAGATCTAAATCCAAAAACAAATAAACTCAAGAGTTATAGTATAAACTGGCATGTTATTTTTATTGCCTTAAAATAGCACAAGAACATACACTACCACAAAGTTTTCAAGGCTAACCTTTAACTTGTGATCCTCCTGCCTCAGCCTTCCAAGTTGATGGGATTACAGACTTGTGTCACTGTGCCTGGCCAAAATGTTTTTTATCTATTTACTTCATCTTTGTAAATGTAATGTCAGGTGAAATTACACTAGAGAAACTGAAAAAAATTTTTAAAAGTAAGTTTTTTCAAAAGTATTGAATATACTTCTTTAAAACCCACTTAGAGGGCTAGGGGTGTACCTCAATGGCAGAGCAATTGCCTAGTATGTGTGAGGTCCTGGCTTTGATCTCTGCACTTCAAAAAAACAAAACAAAACAAAAACCATTTAGTTGCCCAAACAAAAAATTTGAACATGAATGTGGTGTCATATATGACAGCCAAAGAGAGAAAACAACCCACATGTTCAACTGTTACAGCCACTTACATAGTCACTGAATAATGGTACATTATTCAGTAACTTGGGGAATAAAGTACTAACATATGCTACTGGGGTTGTAACTCAGTGGTAGAGTGCTTGTTTAGCATGTGTGAGGTACTGGGTTTGGTTCTCAGCACTGCATATAAATAAATAAACAAAGGTCCATTGACAAATCACACTAAAAAAAAATATTAAAAAGAAAGGCAAGCCAAAATAAGCATGTATGGTGGGGGGCTGGGCTGTGGCTGGCTCAGCGGTAGAGCACTCGCCTAGCACATGCGAGGCCCTGGGTTTGATCCTCAGCACCACATAAAAATAAATAAATGAAATAAAGGTATTGTGTCCAACTATAGCTAAAAAATAAATATTTTTTTTAAAAAAGCATGTATGGACATCATAAACATTAGGCTAAGTAAAAGAATCCAGTCATGAAGGACCATATATTATAGGATTCCTTTCATATGAAGAGTCTGGAATAGGTAAATGCATAGATCAGAAAGCAGATTGGTGGTTGCCTATGACTGGGAAGGCAGGGGGAAAGACAATAGTGACTTAATGGGTATGGAGTTTCTTTTGGGGGTGATGAAGATATTCTACCATTGACTGTGGTGACAGTTGCACAATTTGGTGAACATACTAAAATTAATAAATTGTACACTTTAAATTTGTAAATTATTGGATATATGAATTATATTAATAAAATTTCTACTAAAATCACAATCTTTAAATCAAAAGTTACAGTTGTAAGGGCTGGGGATGAAGCTCAGTGGTTGAATGCTTGCTTAGAATGTGTGAAGTACTGGGATTAATACCCAGGACCAAGGAAAAAAAAGTTAGTTTAAGAGCAAACCAAGGGGTCTGGGGTTGTAACTCAGTGGTAGAGTGTTTGTCTAGCATGTGTGAGGTACTGGGTTTGGTTCTCAACACTGCATATAAATAAATAAACAAAGGTCCACTGACAACTAAAATATTTTTTTTAAAAAAGGCAAGCCAAAATAAAATCTTTTTCTTTTTCGTACTGGGGATTGTATCCAGGGGTGCTTTACTACTGTACTACATCCCCAGTTTTTATTTATTTTTTAACTTTGTTTGAGAAAGAGTCTCACTAAATTGCTGATGGGGGCCTCAAACTTCCAATCCTCTCTCTTCAGCCTCCCAAGATGCTGGGACTACAGGCCCAGCCAACAACATGTTTAAAAGAAAGTCTTAATATTACATTACCATCTAGATATCTTGTTCCATAAGCACACTCGGGAAATATTCCTCTCAAATACGTGATGCAGGATACTGAAACTGCTAACAGTCTCTTCACTAATACCAAAGACTGCTGCTCAGTTGATATCTTACTGGGAAATACCAATGCACTCTACAATTCAAAGGAAATTAAAACATCTTATTTACATTTATTGAAAATAAAGTTTCCTTGCACTTAAGAACAGATCTAATTTTGCATAAACATGATGATGTTCTCCCTATGAATTCCTCCCCATAGTGTTTAGAAATCCTGAGAATATTGGAATAGGTTATAAAATGTAAGGATGTACTAGAGTAACCGCATAAAGGTACATGCAAAAAGTACTTAATAATCTCCTTGCAAATTAACTGTAAATGCATAATACAGAGATAGATAAGATTTTCACTTTAGTCATTGACTAATTTAATATAAGCTAACTATGATGCATCATCCCCCAAATGACAATTTTATATTTTTCTTTTGAGTCATGAATATTTTCTAGTAGTAGACTGGTATGAACAATAATTTCATCAAAACAATTGAACAGCATTCATTAATACCTACTATAAATTAAATTTGAGCCTATAATGTAAAGTAATATACCAAATATATGACAGAATTCTACATTAGTTGAAAATTTTAGCAAATTTTTTTTTTTGGTACCAGGGATTGAACCCAAGGGCACTTGATCACTGAGCCACATCCCTACCCTATTTTGTATTTTATTTAGAGTCTCACTGAGTTGCTTAGTCCCTTGCCATTGCTGAGGCTGGCTTTTAACTCTTTTTTTTTTTTTTTTTTTTTAGCTACACATGACATTAGAATGATCTCGGCAATTCATACATTTGAATCAATTGGGGTATAATTTCTCATTTTTCTGATTGTACAGATTGCAGAATCACATTTTGAGTAAGGTTCTCATTTTGAGCCATTTGATAGCAGATCTCACATAAATGGATTATTAATTTATTTAGTGCTGGAGATTGAACCCATAGTCTGTACATACAGCAATCATAATGTCTATTATATTCTGCTGCCCAGCTTTTAACTCTTGATCCTCCTATCTCAGCCTCCCAAACTGCTGGGATTACACGTGTGCACCACCGCACCGGCAAATTTCTTCTATTCTTAAAACAGGTATTATTAAACCCTCAAAAATAAAGTACCTAAGGCTTTAAGAAACAATAAAATCCATATATGTGTACTCATATGCATATACACATCTACACACACACACACACACACAGAAATAGAAGAACTCATACCATGGAAGTCCTCTGCAATTGTGCAGTGGCCATCTTCTGACAAAATACTTTAAATTCAACCCTGTGACACAAATATTAACTTTAACTTCAGATTTTATTTCTTACATTCTAAACCAGAATTTTATTTGAACAAATTTCAGAATTTATTAAAAAGAAACATAAAAATTCCCATAGTGTGTTCATTGCTAAGCACTTGCTCTACCAGGTTATACCCTACCCCAAGAAACTAGGTTTTTTCTTTTTTTTTTTTTTTTGGTGTGTGTGTGTGTGTGTTTAGGTGCATCTCCCTATGTTGCCTAGGATGGTTCTGAACTCCTGGGATGAAATGATACTTCTGCCTCAACCATCCCAAGTAACTGGGATTACAGGCAAGCACCATCATGACCAGCAAATAGAAGAAAAAAATAAATTTAGCTCTTTTTACTTTTTATTTTTGAGACTCAGTCACACTAAGTTGCCGAGATCTTCCCTCAAGCTTTTGATGTTCCTGCTTCAGCCTTTCGGGTGCCTGGAATGAAAGGTGGTCACCACCGCGACCAAACTAATAGAAAATTTTAAGAAGGTACAAAAATTCTGATTTTTCTTCACGGTATAGTATTCAAGCATTAACGATGTTGGTCAGGTTTACCAGTCATGAAAAACTATCTCTGGGAAGCCCTTTTTTAAATTAAAACACGTGGTGTCGCGCGCCTGTCATCCCAGCAGCTCAGGAGGCTGAGGAGGATCCCGAGTTCAAAGCCAGCTCAGCAAAAGCGAGGCGCTAAGCAACTCAGTGAGACCTGCCTCTAAATGAAATTCTAAATATAGCTGGGGTGTGGTCAGTGGTCAGTGCCCCTGGGTTCAATCCCCGGTACCAAAAAAAAAAAAAGTATATCTAGCTTCAAAATATTCGCATCAGGTTTCTCTCAATGGCTTTAGAAAGGCGTGTGGCCGCCCCTGCGGACGCCCCAGGAGGGCGGCGGGAAGGCCCTAGGCGGCATGACCCAGTCGGTTTCTCAGTTACAGCGGCCCAGGGCCGGGGACGTGGATGTCGTTTGGCAGCAGTTCTGTCTTTCGTGCAGACAGAGCGGCCAGAATCGCCAGGCTTCGCGGGGTCTGGTCACGGCGGGGCTGGCCTTCAGGCTCCTCGAGCGCGACCGGAGGCGCCCGCGTTCGCACGCCCTCAGGGGCCTCTAGCGAAAGGAGCAGGCGCACATTTCCCCCACGTGTTTCGCCATGAAGACCTCAAGAAACTTAAAAGTAGGCGGGAGGCGACAGAAAAAAGATTAAAAGGTAAAAACACAAAACCAAGAACAAACACACATATATATTACGTAACGTCTGAGGGTAGCACGCCAGCGACCAGAACCTCACCGCCCGGCACGCGCTTCGACACACGCGCTTCGACACACGCGCATGCGCTCTCCGACACATGCGCATGCGCTCTCCTTCAACGGTCGCCGGGGCGCTACAGCGGCGCTTGGACTCCGGAAGAACGTCCCCTTTCCCGCCAGAGCTGCGCAAGGCGCTCTGGGAACTCTGCGAGCCGGAAGTCCGCCGCGGTGGTAGCGGCCTGCCGCGGCTCTGGGCCGGTAGGCATTCGGATGGGGTTAAGCAGAGGCACGTGGCGAGCTTTCTCAGCATGCTAGCGCCGCTGCCGTGGCCCAAATGACGCCAGCCACTGTGTAATTCACCCCTCCATTTCTGGTTGTTTCCGATGGCGCCTCGACTTCCCAGCTTTTCGTGTCTTCAGGAAGGCAGTTCCCCAACAGTTCCCTACTTATAGTTTCCACCGAGCTGTAACCGTACGTCTCATTTACAAACAAAATCAGAACGGATGGTAATTGCAGTCTTTCCAGGAGCACAAGATCCTTACTTTTCAGATTCTTACATATCCAAATAAACTGTGTTGCTGGTATAAACAACATAAATTTTGATGTCTTCGTTATGGAGGAAGTGACCACCCCAATATGAATATACTTTACGTGATCATTTAATTAGGCAAAGGAGACTAGAATCCTATTTCCAGGATTAAAAGTAGTGAAGACCTTGGTCAAATAATTATTTTGCCTTACATTTCTCTAACATTTATTTGGCACCAGGGATTGAACCCAGGGGTACCGAACCACTGAGCTACATCCCCAGTCCATTTTTACTTTTAGTTTGAGACAGGGTCTCCCTGAGTTGCTTAGGGCCTTCTTAAATTGTTGAGGCTGGCTTTGAACCTCAGCCTCCCCAGCCAGGCATGCACCACTGTGCCCCACATTTTTTTCATGTTCAAAGTTTACAAAAGGTTTTCTCATTCACTGTCCTATTCTTGGCTTGCCCTGTTACCAGAACTTTGTGAGGAAGACACTGGTATTGAAGTGGCACCCCCTTCTCCACAGAAAAGCCCTCTTCACCATGGCTGACTTTAGGTCAGCAAAAGAGTCTCTGCAAAAGAGTTCAATGGAGATAAACTTCCTATTTTCGTGTTGCCCTGTTTACTTGGGCCACTGGCGGGGAAGATACCAGCACTCCAGGTGCTGGACACCCCTTACTAGTTTTTCACAAATGTATCCTGTATAGTAGTTTGTAAAAATCCTGGTCTTGAGCTGGGCTTCACAGAGATGTCTACATTTTTAAGATGTTACAAATGGGCTCCATGGTAACAGTTGGCAGCGGAAGAAAGAAAGGGGAGATGAAGGTCTCCCCTTCTCAGGTGTTGTCCTTGAAGAGTTAACTTGCCCAGAACAGTGAAAGAAAAAACTGCTTTTATGTGAACTTCTGCAGACTGAATTTCTGAGCCCCCCCCTTACACGCTGTGTATAAAATTCTGAAACTCCCTGAACTCCGGGCTCAGGGGATTGATTGATTACAGCAAAAGCTGTGCCCTCTGAACCTGGCTGCAGCCAAATAAAACTGTTTCCTGCTATCTTTGGTGCTTTGCCTTGTTTGTCCTTGCAACAGTATTGCCCCTAATTTATTTTCCTCTTTCCTTCATTCCTTTGTTCCTCCTTCCCTCTCCCCTTTCTTCCTTCCTTCCTTTCTTCCTTCCTTTACTCTTTTGTTCTATACAATCCTCCAAGATAGGGATCAAACTTCTACTTTAAAAATAATAAAACAGATTTAGGAAAATTTGTTTTCCCAAGATCACCACAAACTTCAGTGTTAGCAGAGGGGGCCACTACACCATCCAATGATGTCACATAAAATTTAAGATATAGTGCTGCATATTAAATTTATTTATAGTTTTCATTAATAACTATAGAATAAGGAAAAAACAGTTCATCCATCATTCATAGAATCATAACAATGCAATCACTATCTACTGATTTCTATATCATTAACTATACTTTTGAGGATGAGAGTGGAGAACTGGGTGGTATTAGTGCAAGAGATCTGAAACTTCAATTATAGAATAAATCTATAGGTACCATATAAAATCAAGATTCAAAAAACGGCAATGTGTATATATTGGAAACCTGAAGATGAATTCCAGAAGAAACAGACAAAACAATTATTGTTGATTCAAAAATGTTACTGATTTTAAAAATATTGGTTAATAGAATGTGACATCATGCAAAAAACTTATAATAAGCTTACATCATGCAATAAACAACTGTCCATTATACATAGTATTAATCATAGTACATGTTGAATTTGCTTCTTGAGTTTTTTAATAAAGGCTTCTAGGCACTGTATCCAACAAAGCATTTCTTTTTTTGAGAAAAAGCAAAAAGGTTTGCTTTGCTGGCAAAGGAGAAACATTGAACATAACATTTTTCGTTGTATAGAAATCAGTAAATTCTTAGTTGTTTTATGCAAGCACTGTCAAGATACACATACATCTGTAAACTATGGATCAACTCAACTTCTCATTTGCTATTTGAAATTAGTGTTTAAATGTAACATTTTAAAATGTGCTTGTATATACATAAAAAATTCTAGAAATATATACAAATACTAATAGCAGTGGTTACTTCTAAGGATTAGGCATCTGAGCCTATAAGGGAAATTAGTGGGATAGAGATTTTTCACTTTCTTTTATGTGCACACGCATGCACACACACACACAACACACACGACAATCCTTATTATTCACAAATCTCACATTTGTGAATTTACCCATTTACTAAATTTATTTGTAAACCCCAAATTAGTGATAAGTTCAATAGGGCTTTTTCAGCTTGCAGACATGTTCAGAATAGCAAAAACATGAGCCTGGTTACACTCTGCCCTTCTTGTTTTAGCTCTCATTGTAAACAAGCATCTTTTCCGAGTGCTAGTTAGTGCCACACTTTTTGCTTCTTTGTGTTTCATGCTTCATATGTGTGTGATTTTGCTGTGTAATGCTGAGGCAGGAGGATCAAGAGTTCAAAGCCAGCCTCAGCAATGGCGAGGGCTAAGCAACTCAGTGAGACCCAGTCTCTAAATAAAATACAAAATAGGGCTGAGGATGTGGCTCACTGGTTGAATGCCTCTGAGTTCAGTCCCCAGTACCAAAAAAAAAAAAAAAAAAAGAGATCGTTTGTGCTGTGTAGTTTTCCTAACTGTAAGGTTGTGATGTGCCTTACAGAGAAATTATATATGTTAAATAAGTTTCCTTTAGGCATGAGTTACTGAGCATTTGACTGTGAATTCAATGTTAATGAATCAACAATATATATTAAATAATTATTTTAAGGAGAAACACACAAAATAAATTTGGATATTGATTCAGTTGATGAAAATATGGTGACCAGAGACTCATAAGAACCTATCCCTGTATTATTCCTTGAAGTAATATTTCAGTATTTGTTAATTCAGTGTTCATGATGATTTTCTAGAACATGACTAGTGCAAATAATGAGAATTAACTATTATATACTTTTAATTTTTGAGCCATGTGAATATAGTAGCTATACTAAAAAGTAGTTAAATTTTAAAAACATTCAAGAACTGATTGTGACTTGACTATTATATAATTTTCACTTACTATTTTATTTAAGCAACTTCATTAGTTATCTTTATCTTAGTGAAGGAGAAAGGAAAGGTAAAGAATCCAGATCAAAGTATAGGCTTCCCAGGGACCGGGAAGAGAGAAGCACAAGGAGAGACAAATTTTTATTTTATATTATTTATTTATTTTTCACTATGCTAAGCAAACCCAGAGCCCTGTGCATACTTGAGGTGAGCACTTTATGACTGAGCTACATGCCCAGCCCAAGAAAAAAGTTTTGCATAATGCTTTCCTTTAAATTTTAAAAGGAATTTTAAAATGGCATCTAATATTTAGATTTTTTCATTATTATGAAGAATTATTAGGACATATTTTGACTTCTAACACTCATAATATACTGGTCATTAATTTGCATTGTTTGAATTAATAGTGGTTGACTACTTTTTTTGTGTGCGTGATGTTGGGGCTCTAACAAAGGCAAGCACTCTACCACTGAACTGTATCCCCTCCACAGCAATTGAATACTTTAAAGCAGGCACTATGCTGTGTTCTAGGTACAAGGTGGTAAAAAAAAGACTCATGGTTTTTGTTCCCATTGGGTTTACAATCTGTTCCCATTGGGTTTACATTGAAGGGGATCAATGTTATATAAATAAGACATAAATACATAAGTAGTTACAACCTGATAGGTGTATGGAAAAAATAAAGCACTGATTCATTGAGAAAGTCAGAGGTAGAAAAACTAACTTTAGATGGGAAGGTGAGTCATGAAAGACTTCTCTAAGGAAATTCCACTTGAGTTACAGCCAGAGGATGAGAAGGAGTTATTAAAGAAGAGGGAGAAAGTTAGGGAGATGGTGGCAGGAGTATTTTGGACAAAGAGAATGATACTTTCAATGTGCCTAAAGTGGAAGTGTTTCAAAAATTTAAAGGAAGAACTGAGTACGTGGTACATGCCTGTAAATCAGTGACTGGGGAGGCCGAGGAAGGAAAATTGCAAGTTCAAGGCCAGCCTCTGCAGCTTTGAGGGGCCATAAGAAACTTAGCCAGACTCTGCTGCCTGTTCAGAACCCACCTATTAATCTAGAGCAGTTGTGAAGAAGATTCATCAACTTAGATAAAAATACAAATGATGGAGTGGCTGGGGTTGTGGCTCAGCGGTAGAGCGCTTGCCTAGCATGTGTGAGGCACTGGGTTCGATTCTCAGTATCACATAAAAAATAAATAAAGATATTGTGTTCATCTATAGCCAAAAGTATTTTTTAAAAAATACAAATGATGGCATAATTTTAAGGAAATGCAATTTAGTTTTTTTTTTTCACATTGACTCAATTATTTGCCAAAAGATGGTCTTGGTCGGCTTATTGATGACTAGGTAAAAATAATTTGAATTAGTAAATTAAATTGTTGATCATCTGAAGTGCTTAAAAACAGACTATCTTTTAAGTATTTGTCTTTAATATCATTTTATTTAAAAAAATCATTGAATCCTGTTATGTACAGAGATAATAATTTGAGCCCTCAGGATATTTGTAACCTAATATTCTCTTCTATGGAAGTTATTATAGCCCATCACCAGCATACCACAATTAACATTTCCATGATAGAATATTATAGTTAGCTAAGAATCATTTTAAAAGAATGATATATAGTGAAGCCAGGCACAGTGGCACGTGCCTATAGTACCAACTACTTAGGAAGATCACTTGAACCCATGAGTTTGAAGACAGCCTAGGCAACATATTGAGATCTCGTGTTAAAAAATAAAATAAATAAATAAAATGATGCAGTCATAGAAATTTGAAATAGATTTATTAAGCTCTTTTAGACCACCAAGTTACAAAAGGCTATTGAAAGAAAAAAAATAAAGAGTGCAAAATAAAACAAGGACAAACTTCTCAGATTGTCCTTGGTGGACCAATTCTAATACAGTGACATCTATGGTACATTATTCATTTACTTTGCAAGCTTTTTTCAGAAATATGCAAAGCTTTATAAAGTGAAAGCAAAATTTTCTAATTAGAAATGGTAAATATATATTGATGTTGATACATTTCATCTTTATTTCTACAGCAGGTAAAATTAAGAGAAAGTATTTCATCTTCTTGACTTGTTATAAAATGAAGAGGTCCTCTAAATTTCCGGGTAAGAGCAATAACTGGCAATCCCACAATGATTTTTACTATTTCTTGCCATCCGAATATATCCTTGTTCACCAAAGTGGAGGCCCCAGCTTTAGAAAAAGAAACGACACAAAATTACAAATGAAAAAAAATCAAAAACATATTATCAACTTTTTATTTTTTTGGTTGTTTTTATTCTAAAATAATTATATGTGAAAAGCTATAAGACAATTTGAATGAAATAACATAATAATTTCCCCAGAGATGCAGGCAATTTTCAAATGACAGTTTGGAAGGCTTTAGTTCTATAGTGTTGAATAGACTTATTACTTAAGGAAAAAATGGACGTTTACCTTCTATAGGGAAAGAGTGGTAGAGTGGTATTATCCTTTATAACCAATCTCTAAATTTGCATAGTAGGATCATGGCTGATGATTTTCTAACAAATTAAAATTCATCTGGAGAATATCTTTTTAAAAAATATTTATTTAGTTGTAGATGAACACACAATATCTTTATTTATTTTTATGTGGTGCTGAGGATCGAACCCAGAGCCTCACACACGCAAGGCAGGCACTTTACCAGTGAGCTCAGCCTCAGCCCCTGGAAATAGCTTTTTTTTTTTTTTTTGGAGAATAGCTTTTTAAGAAATACTTTTGAGTAACTACTGTGAAAATGTCAGGTCAGGGGATTCTAAAGTAAATGATAAACAGTGCAGTTCTGAAAGAGCTTTTTGATCTGGAAGCGGATGTGAGATAAGACTTTATCATAGGTAAAGCTATAAAAAATGATACGTTACCCTGTGAGAAGGTGAGCTCCCTGACGCTTGTTTAATCAGAAGTTTGTTGCCTAAGTTAAAGATTTACAGAGAGAATTCATAAGCCAGCTAATGGTTAGAGAAAACCAATGGTTCACTCACTTTTTGGTTCCATGGATGTGGAGGATTTAATTTTTTTTTTTTTTTTGCAGCTTGACATAAAGATACCAATTTAAAAGTTATCATGTGTGAACAAAAATATATTCTAACCTGTCCGGCACAGAGTAAGCAGGCAATAAATGGTAATTAATATTAATAATATCTTGGCAAGAGCTTATTGTTATTGCTTTTGCTTATCAAAATAGATACTGAACAATACATTCCTTTATAAGCAGTGACAATGGGGTTTGAATTTTAGTGTAAAAGGTTTTTTGTGCAAAATCATTAGAGGTTTTTAAGGAGAGCATAACGAATAAGTAAAAGGAAGAACAAGAAGGGAAAAAAGGAGCCTATGAAAGTATTTGAGAAGGAATGACCAAGAGACCAAAAAATCAGGACATAATGATGTCTTAAAGCCAAGAGAGAAGTGAAGTGGAGTAGGCTACTGTATCAAATGATGCAGAGATAAAAATAAGACCCGAAAAGTGTCCAGTGAGGACTGACACAAAGAATATTTAAAACCTCTTAAAGCACAGTCCCTTTAAATTATGCTGCTTGATTTCCAGCAGTAAAGCAGCACTTCTTCTCTCGGCCACGTGTAAAAATCACAATCTTCTTCTGAATCCCTGTGCAAAAAGTTTGCAATAGCTTCCCTTTGCCTAAGAAACTGAAGTTTCTCATTTTGCTATCCTCTGCTATTCACAACTTGGCCCCAAACCAACTTTCTGCCCTTTTCTTTCCCTCCACTCTTTCACTGAAGATATCCAATTTTCCTTTCAACTAAATTTCTTGCTGCTTTCCCAATACATTAGGTATTTTCTCTATTTTATGTTTTTATCTGTGCCCTAGTTACAGCACTCAGTCATCATCCTGTGAGGTATTATCACTGTCAAAAGTAACACAGATGGTAAATTATGAAGCCGAGGTTCAGATCTAGACTTGTTTTATTGCAAAGGCAACTCTAACTGTACCATCCCTATCCCTGTGTTATCCCTGCAAGTGAAGTAGTACAGGGAAGGAAATTGAGACCAGAACATTCAGGATCTTTTATAATTCATAATTTTTGTTAGTATTTGCTGCCTTAAAAACTAGGTAAAATAAATCACTTTTTCTGAGCTGAGTTTGGACCTGAATTCTGGTAGTGAAAACTGAATTTATAGATATTGTTGCAGTCATATGCCGCATAAAAACATTTCAGTGAGCAATGGATCACATATATAAAGTGGTCAAATAAGATTATAATGGAGCTGCAAAATTCCATCACCCAGTGATGTTGTAGCTATCATAATGTTATAGCACTAGGCATTATGTGTGTGTGGTGATGCTAGTGTAAACAATTCTGCTATATTGCCACTTGTATGAAAACATAGCACAGGGCTGGGAATTTAGCTCAGTGGTAGAGCATTTACCTAGCATGTATGAAGCCCTGGGATTGATCACCAGCAAACCCGTCACCCCCTCCACAAACACAAATTATATAGCACATACAATTGTGATGATGGCAAACAACTATATTACTGGTTTATGTGTCTACTAGACTTTTGGGGGCTGCACTGGGGATTGAACCCAGGGCTGCTGTACCACGGAGTCACATCCACAGCACTTTTTACTCTTTGAGACAGGGTCTCACTAAGTTGTGTAGGGTCTCACTAAGTAGCTGAGGCTAGCTTTGAATTGGGCAATCCTCCTGCCTCATCCTCTACAATGGCTGGAATGATAGGTATGTGCCACTGTGTCAAGCCTGAGGACAGAATATTAGACACAGCAAACAGGGGGAATGTCATGTGAAATCGGAGGCAGAAATCAGACTGATGTTTCCATAGGCCAAGGAAAACCAAAACCAGCAAACCTTCAGAAGCTAGGGGAAAGGTGTGGAGCATTTTTTAAAAATATTTATTTTTTAGTTGTAGTTGGACACACTACCTTTATTTAATTTATTTATTTATATGTGGTGCTGAGGATCGAACCCAGGGTCTCACACGTGCTAGGTGAGCACTCTGCCGCTGAGCCACAACCCCAGCCCCAAGCATTCTTTTAAAAATTAAAATATATAGTGAGGCACAGTGGTGCACACCTGTAATCCCAGCAGCTCAGGAGGCTGAGACAGGAGGATAGCAAGTTCAAAGCCAGCCTCAGCAATGGCGAGGTGCTAAGCAACTCAGTGAGACCTGTCTCTAAATAAAATACAAAAAAGGGCTGGGGATGTGTGTGGCTCAGGGGTCGAGTGCCCCTGAGTTCAATCCCCCATCCCCCCCAAAAATATATTTAATTAACAAATATTATATATTCAGGGTGTACAATGATTATCATAATCAAATTAAGTAACACATCTATTTCCACCTATGCTGTACATTAGATCCCCAGAACTTTTTCATGTTATAATTGAAAGTCTGTACCTTTTGGTCAACATCTCCTCATATTCCCCATCCCTATCTCCTGGCAACTACTGTCCTGCCCTCTATTTCTATGAGTTTGACTTTTTTAGATCTCACATATAACTACAATTATATAGTATTCTTTTTGTGCCTGTGAACATTTTCTTCCTCATAAACCTTATGATCATAAACCTAACCCTGATGATATCTTTATCTCTGACATCTGTCCTTTAGAACTGGAAGACATATATTCTTGTGGGTTTGTTTTTTATTTTGTTTTGTTTTGGGTACCAGGGATTGAATCCAGGGACACTAAACCACTGAGACCATTCTTAGCCCTTTTTTGTATTTTATTTATAGACAGGGTCTCACTGAGTTGCTTAGGGTCTACTAAATTGCTGAGGCTGGCTTTGAACTTGCAATCTTCCTGCCTCAGCCTCCCAAGTTGCTGGTATTACAGGTGTGTGCCACTGTGCCTGGCCTAAACTTTTGTTTTTCAAGTCACTCAATTTGGGGCTGGGGTTGTGGCTCAGAGATAGAGCACTCACCTAGCATATGCGAGGCACTGAGTTCGATCCTCAGCACCACATAAAAATAAATAAAATAAAGGCATGTGTCCCAACAACAACTTAAAAAAAGTTTTTAAAAAAGTCACTCAATTTGTGGTACTTTGTTATGGCAACCATAGGAATATAATATAAGAAGATGCTTTGAGTATGTGTGAGTCTTAACTCTTCATATTCCTCCCATTTTACCCTTCTAAAAGTCACATTCCTTTTGTTTATGAATTATATAGATGTAATTTTAATATGTATATTGAGGGGCCATTAGGTGCTGCTCATACTGTACGGAGGATAAAAGACAAGACATAATCTCTATCCCAAAGGCATATACAGAATATTGGAATGACAGGAAGTGTACACATAATGTACAGCATGCTGTGACTCCCTAGTCATAGGACATTTGGTCAGCATAGAAGAAAGACATTTTACTTGGCACAAAGATTCCAAGATTTTCTGGAATAGATAATGCCTGAGCTGCTTTTGAAGGCAAAGAAAGAATAAAGAAGAAGACATGAAGATATGAAGGATAAAATGGTAGAATGAAGATTTTAACTACAAATCGTTCAATGTAACTGGAGTGGAAAGTATGGGACAATAAATGCCAGGATTTGAGACTGGCGAGACAGGTAAGGATTACAACATGGAAGACTTTTCATTATGCAGGAAACATTAATTTTACATTGAATAGTACTAAGTAGAAGCACTATAAGTTCAGACTCCTACCTTAAATCAGTTTGGCAGCAGTAAGAAAGACAGGTTTACAAGTAAAGGAGGTGAGTTAGAAGGCTGCAGCAGTAGTCCAGGTCGGAGATGTCTGAACTAGAGGAGTAATAGAAGAAGAGAGGAGACAGAACCAAGGATGGGTGCCAGGTAAAATCAGTTTGACTTGTTGCTTGATTGGAACTGGAAGGCTCTAGGATGGTTCTGTAGCATCTTATTAGGTGACTGTATTGTGTGATGTTGCCATTTATTGATATGGGAAATTCTGGAGAGAACAGTATGGTGGAGAAGGTACTGAGTTCTTAGGCAGGTTGAGTTTGGAGAGACTAAAATATAGGAAAAGTGTATATAACTAGATAAGTCTGAAGTTCTGGGTGGATGTCAGAGCTAGAGCTAGAGACAGAGAAGGCATCAGTTTATAGATTATGTTTAAGGTCACAATGACGTAGAAAAATGTAGAATAAGAAGAGTAATGGGCAGATGGTGGAGCTCTAGTATTGTAGAAGGTAAATGATGAAAACAGAGATGAAGGCAAGACAGTAAGTGGAGAAATAGGGGCACTGAGTAATTCAGAATGTCACTTTGTAAGAAGCTATAAATATTCATCATTGTAAGTATCATGATTGTCATCATAATCGTAAGAGCACATTTATCGAGGCTCCCTTGAATTCCTGATTTAATTAAATATACTAATGTGAAATACGTTACCTATTTTTCACAAGCCAATAGTCTTTCCCATTAAGGTTACCATAGCCAACCACTAGTACACCATGATTCACATTCTGAGTACAGGATGAGTCATAGTAGACACCTGCAAATAAAGTATGGGTAGAGAAAGATAGTGAATGATATATGATAATAAAGGGCATTAGAAAATTCTATTATTTTTATTAGACTCCTCTGGATATATGGCAGGATTCGTTAAGACATCAGGAATATATATTCTCATGCTTCAGCTACGTAGAGCTCACCACTCTTTGCCATCAGTGCTGTATTTGTCAGGTTCTTGCCAAGTTTGGCACCAATCCATATTTCCCTCAGAAACCTCTGATAAACCAGCACCTTTGTCTAATTATTTAAAACTTATATATGGTTATTGTATTTCTTTGTATGTATATGCCTAAATTGCTTCATACATTTTCATTCTTTATTAAATGTGATGTTCTGATTTTTTATGTTCTTCAAAGTGAGGTTTAAAATATATTTACTCAGTTGGTAGAGTGCTTGCCTCACATGCACAAGGCCCTGGGTTCAATCCCCAGCACCACACACACACAAAATAATATATATATAAAGCATATATTTTATTTATATAATTATATGTTTTTAAAAATATATATATTTATATATTTGGATGGATGTCAGTACATTATATAATATTATATATATAATGAACATTATACAATGTTCTACCTTTAGTGGATACTCAGAAAATATGTTATTGAGTTTTGTATGACTGTGTATTTTTTTTAAGTATTAACTTATAAAATAGTGTTAGGTGCCCTCCTTATACACTGCTGTGCTACACCTACACTGCAAAGTCTCTCCAGGGGTTAAACGCACAGGCTTAGGAATGAAGTTGAGTACTTGTTGTTGTTGTTGAAATCCTTTATTTTTTAAAAAATATTTATTTATTTTTTAGTTGTAGTTGGACACAATACCTTTATTTTATTTATTCATTTTTATGTGGTGCTGAGCATGGAACCCAGGGCTTCACCCATGCTAGTCGAGCGCTTTACCACTGAGCCACAACTTCAGCCCTGAAATCCTTTATTTTTTAAAATTTAGATTTCTTTTTAACTGATACATAAAACAAAATAGTTCATATTTATGGGCAACCATGTGATAGTTAACATATCTGTTTCCTCAAACATTTATCATTTCTTTTTTTCTTTTTTTTGAGAAGTTTTTAAAAAATATTTATTTTTCAGTTGTAGTTGGACACAATACTTTCATTTTATTTATTTATTTATTTTTATGTGGTGCTAAGGATAAAACCCAGGGCCTCACATGTGCTAGGCTATCTCTCTACCACTGAGCCACAACCCCAGCCCCATTTATCATTTCTTTATGGTGAAAACATTCCAATTCTTTTCTTCTATGTTTTTGAAATATACACTACATTATCATCACCTTTTTTTAAATATCATCATTATCTTTTTTTTGAGAAAATCACTTGTTTATTTAAATATTGTACTTATGAAAAATCCCAGAATGAGAAACACGAGCATTTGTAATAATAATCAAATAAACATTATCATTATCTTAATGTGTTACTTATGTGCAATAGCACACTCCTTTTAACTATAAGTTAGTACCCTTGGATCAACTTGTCACCATCCCTCTCACTTCCTGCTCTTTCTAGTCCCTGATAACCACCATTCTATTCTCAACTGATATGAGATCAACTTTTTTATATTCCACATGAGTGGAATCAAGTGGTACCTGTCTTTCTGTGTGTGATTTATTTCACTTAGCATAATGATCTTCAGTTCCATTCATGTTGTTGTAAATGTCCAGATTTCATTCTTTTTTTATGGCTGAATAGCATTCCATGTTGTATATATGTACCACATTTTCTTAATCCATTCATCAGTTGATGGACACCTAGGTTGTTTCCATTTCTTGTCTATTGTGAATAGTGCTGCAATAAACATGGGAATGCCGATATCTCTTCAACATACTGATATCATTTTCTTTGAATATATATCCAGTAATGGTATTGCTGGATCATATGTTATATGGTAGTTTTGATTTTAAGGAACCACCATACTGTTTTCAATAATGACTGTATTAATTTTTTTTTCAGTACCAAGTATTGAACCCAGGGGCACTTAACCACTGAGCCATATCCCAGTCCTTTTTAAATATTTTATTTAGAGGCAGTGCCTTTCTGAGTTGCTTAGGGCCTCCCTGAATTGCTGAGGTTGGCTGTATTATCCTGCCCTCAGCCTCCTGAGCCACTGGGATTACAGACTTGTGCCACCATACCCAGCAACTGTATTAATTTATATTCCCACCAAAGAGTGTACAGGATTTCCATTTCTGCATATCTTCATCAGCACTTGTTATATTTTGTCTTTTTGGAAATAACCTTTCTTACCGGAGCAAGGAGGTATTTCATGCAGTTTTGATTTGCATTTCCTTGATGATTAGTGATGTTGAACTTTTTTTTTTTTTCACATACTGGTTGGCTATTTGTCTATTTAGGTCTGTTGTTCCAACCCTCAACCCCCCATTCCTTTGAGATATTTCTTTGTCTAGCTTGGTCTTAAACTTGTAGGTTCAAGCAATCCTCAGTCTCCCAAATAGCTGGGGTGATGAGAATGCACCCCTGGGCCCAGCTTGGATTGCCCATTTTTAAATCAGGTTGTTTATTTACTATTGAATTGTTTAAGGTCCTTACATATTCTGAATATTAACCCCTTATCAGTTTAAAGTTTTCATATATTTTCTCCCATTTTGTAGGTCATCTTTCCACTCTGTTGATTCACTCAGCTTTGCTGAGCAGAAACTTTTTAGTTTGATGAAACCCTACTTGTCTACTTTTGCTTTTTTTTCCCCTTGTGCTTGTGAAGTCTTGTCCAAAAACTATTGGCCAATTCCAGTGTCCACAGGCATTTTTCCTATGCTTTCTTCTAGTAGTTTCAGGTCTCAAGCTGCTTAAGTCTTTAGTTCATTTTAAGTTGATTTTTGTAACCCATTAGAGGCAGGGGTCTCATTTCATAGGATATCCTCTGCATATATATCCAGTTTCCCAACACCATTATTGAGAAGACTGTCTTTTCTCTGTTTGTTCTTAGCACCTTTGTCAAGAATCAGTTGACTATGGATGTGTGGGTTTACTGTAGGATCTCTATTCTGTTCCAGTGGTCAATGTGTCTGTTTTTAAGCCAATACCATGCTGTTTTGTTTATTATAGTTTTGTAGTTTATTTTGAAGCCAGGTTGTATAACGCCTCATGCTTTGTTCTTTTTGCTTAAGACGGCTTTGGCTATTCTGAGTATTTCATGGTTCCATACAAATTTTAGGATTTTTTTCTAGTTATTGAAAAATGGCTTTGGTATTTTGATAGAAATTGCATTAAATCTGTAGCTCACTTTGGGTAGCATGGACATTTTAGCTATATTGACTTCTCCAGTGAACCTGGGAACACAGGATAGCCTTCATGTGTGTGTGTGTGTGTGTGTGTGTATTCTCTTCCATTTATTTCATCAGTTTTATTTTCATTATAGAGATCTTTCCCCTCTTAAGCTAAACTTATTCATAGGGATTTTTTTTTTTTGGTAATTATTGTAAATGGGATTGCTTTCTTGATTTCTAGTTCAGATAATTGGCTATTTGATATATAAAAGAGCAACTGATTTTTGTATGTTGACTTTGTTTCCTGCAACTTTGCTGAATTTGTTGCATAATTTTTAGTACTAGATCAATCACTTTCAAGTTATGTGACTTTAAGCAAATTAACCCCTCTCGAGTGACTTTTTCATCTGTAAGTTTGAGTTATTTTGAAGATTTAAATAAAATAATATATCTAAATGATTTACTATAGTACCTGTCTTATAGTGTTAATAAGCTTTAATAAGTATATTAGAAATAGATACAAAAAGGTTATATGAAATGAAGATTTTGTTTAAGCTATCTAAACACTCAGAGGGGGAGATGGGGAAGAATAATCTTATAGTACAGGGCAGCATAAAACAAGAGGATAAAATATCTGTTTTTACCACTTTTGTAGAGGAAGAAAGAAGGATGACTTGCATCTATAGCAACAGACACAGGTCCTTTATTGGCCACAGCTTCTTTCAGGACATCTTCATCACCATAGGGAAGTTGCGTGTACCTTGAACACGTGGCGGCACGATTTTTTGAGTCATATTGGCACTTTCCATCCTGCCAAAAAAAAAAAAAAGATAATTCAGATAAATAGTGTATTTTGACTTTCTTTATAAATCACTAATATTCTAAGTCTGGTTTTCAAATATTTTCTTTGCCTTTCTTTCTCCCCCGCACCCCTGCAATTTATAGCACTGAACCCAGGGAACTGTACCGCAGAGTTATGTTCCTAGCCCTTTTTGTTTTTTAATTTTGAGACAGGATTTGGCTAAGTTGCTTAAGACCTTGCTAAACTGCTGAGGCTGGCCTTGAACTTGAGATCTTCCTGCCTCAGCCTCCCAAGTTGCTAGAATTACAGTAATCCACCTATGTCCTGTGAAATATGTTTTCTTTGCTCAATTTAACCTTTTTAAAAAAATATTTATTTTTTATTTTTGGTGGACACAATATCTTTATTTTATTTTTATGTGATGCAGAGAATCAAACCCAGTGCCTCACGCATGCTAGGCAAGCATGCTACCACTTGAGCCACATCCCCAACCCCTCACTTTAACCTTTTCAAGTGTCTAAGACACCCTCTAATTTTTAAAGAAAGAAAATCTAAATTGTCTGAGTCCTAATGGTTCCAGATTTCACCTATGACAGAGGTAATATAGAATTATTTTATGGTTTTAAATTGTGAACATATTCATACATGCAAAACTTGCCAGGCAATGTCTCCTCATACTCTGAGGTGTATTGTAGTGGTAATACTACATCATAAACTTTAGATTGAAACCTTAAAGTCTTTTTGATGATATAATACGTGCAAAATGATTTGCAGTTAAAATGATGGTTTAGAAGATCATATAATATGGAAAACAGTATATTTTAAGTAGGAAAATGGAGATTATGAATTCATGGTTGTGGTACATGCAACTATATTTTAGGTGCTTCACAGGAAAAGAGCTTGAGAGAAATAAACCAAAATAATAGTAGTTAAGATAGGGAGATTTTTGAGTGATATTTCTCTTTTTTAAATTTTCTGCAATATGCACATGACTTATTTAACAATATATGTAACAAACTTGCAAGAAAAACAGAACATTATTGAGTTTCTTAGTAGATAGAAGAATGATCTGGTTATGGTTTGAGAGAATAAGGTTGAATATGGTAGGCTGCGGAACAAGAAAGTTTAAATATTAGGCAGATACACAAAGAATTTTAAGGATGGTATGCTTAAAGTCTGTGTTTAAGTATGAATGCTACTTGTTTGTTTAATAAACTGTGCAACTAATAAATTAAAAAGGCTACTGCATAAAGGATGGGGATATAGTACAAGGTCCTGGGTTTGATTCCCAGTGCCTCTTTAGAAAAACAAAAAAAGGTTATTGCATAAGAAAGAGAAGTCTTGAGAACTGGAGGGTTCCCGATTGGAGTTCTCTTTCTTTTACACCCACACTGCTTCTCCATCAGTTGGCTTGGTGGTGTAGTCAGTACACAGATAATATGAGGTCATGGGGCAGCAACCAGAGTTTGCCTGTGACACACCATGGCCTTGTAGGGATAGGAAGCTTCTGAATCAATGCCGTTGTTATCAATGATGTATTGGAAAGCCTCCGTCATGAAGCCACCATTGCAGCCTTTATTCTCATATTTTTCAGTTGAACAATCCACCAGATTCTGGGCACTGAGAGAGACCAGATTTCCTGTTTTCATCTTCACTTGTGCTTCTAGGGCTCCCACAGCACTGAAAGCCCAGCAAGCACCACAGGAACCCTAAAACAGAGACAATGACACACTGCATTAATAGAAAGTAAGGATGGCTATTGCCATCTATCCTAGCTGGCAACCTGTGCTGGGTTCACAAATCTGACTATTCCAATAACTTAAGAAAACGGTGAAGAAAGCACGCAAACACACAGAAGTGCCTTTTCAAAATCCGGGACAGCTCTCTGACCGTAGGGGTCCATGGAAAAAGAGAGAGCTACTGGAATTCTTTATTCTTATATAGAGACACACAAGGGGAGGTGCCCTATCCCCAAAAGGGCAAAGGGGTAGGATTACAAAGGAGCAGGTGAGTGTAACTCATCCCCACCAGGTGACACCTTCTCTGGAGCCACGCCTCATCATCCCAGTGGAGGTAAAGCCCAAGTTATTGCAGGGCACTGTTCAGTATCTCTCATTCAGGACTTAAGGGCGAGTATTTCCAGAGCAGCTCCTGATAGATGGCTTCCATAACAAAAATTGGGCAACTCCAAGTTAGGTTAGCTCTGTCAATAGTTCCCAAGAAGGGATCCTCTACTTTACTTTCCTTCTCTCTTAGATAATGGGAATGAAAGCAAAATATTTGATTGTCCTCTAGATAAGATCCAACCTTGACGGAGACTTACAAATGGCTGAGCTAAGAACATAATGGGCATAATCAAATATATTAAGAATTAATATTCACTGAGCATGTGCCAGATCTCACCTGTCTCCACCTATGAAGAAGGGGGTTACATGTCCACAATAAAGTGATTTTTTAAAAGAATTTAACCATTATTTTATTTATTTGTTTTTTGTTTTTAATGTGGTGCTGAGGATCGAACCACAGCCTCACCCATCCTAGGAAAGGGCTCTATACCACTGAGCTATAAGCCCAGCCCAGTTAAGTGATTTTGAGTGACTTAATGATTTTTTTGCCTTAGGGTACCCTCCCTCCTGCCAAATAATGCCTGAAAGCAAGACCTTTAATACTAGGTAAACATTTTACATTATTATCCTTAGAAATGTTTTCAGAAGCTATTTTTTAGGGAGGTATAAACAAACAGAAAACCACAAATCTGCTTTAGTTAACAGAAGGTATAGAGGATATAGAGTTCCATCACAATTGCTTGTGTTTCTCTCTCTCTGTCTCCCTCTCTCTTTTCTCCTCCCCTCCCTCCTTGATGTTTATGCAATAGAACAGATTGAAATTGCTTTGGGTTAAAGAAAATTTGGTCATTAAAATGCAAGCACCCAGGGAAAGGAGCTCATACTCAGAGTTAATACCTAAAAATGTAGGTCTTTGGGTTTTCCCAAACTTCTATTTTTAGAGAAATTTGAGTAAGAAACCCAAAACTAGTTGAAAGAAAAATATATGAGTGGGAAAGAATACAAGTAGTACCTTTTACTTTCTTCATTTGTCACAAGCTCGGGCAGCTGCTTAGAATGCTGTTTCTTCTCCTTTACCCTAACTTCTAAGGTGACACGTGTTCTACCCGTAGTTACCTATGACTAACTTAGGATTTTTGTAGGTTTAAAAAAAAAAAAAACTCATGGAAAATACAACATAGGAACATCAATTTAACAAAACACAGATTTCTTATTTTAACAATGCAAACCTAGCTTTGAATTAACTTGACTGTACAATCTGTAGGTCAGTCTAACTCTAGTTCTTTCCTCACCTTCAACCCTGAAATTCAGAAGTTAGATGGAGAGTGAAACTTCTTGGTCAGGGTTTTCTCACACTCCTGGTGACTCTCAAGCAAATGGCTTGATGGTGGGTCTAGTGCAATCAATGAATGTCATGAGCACTAAAAGTTTGTTTGATAAATCTAATGACATAGTTCATAGTTTTTGTCTAAGGTAGCTGTATTACCACTGTGTTCGAAGAGCTGTGGGGACAACAAATAGAGTACAGTAAGTGACCCTTGCCTTCGGGGGCTTAAAATTTAGTTGGGGAAACAAGTACAGAAACAATTGGAAAGACACATAAGAGACTTTGGAGAGTCACTGCCAGATTGTGCAGCTAGACAGAAAGAGAGAGCTCTCTTGAGGGGCAGAGGCCGGGGTGGTAAAACTCACCTGGGATTTGACTTCAGTAACACACCCCTTCTCTCTCCAGTCGAAAGACTCTGGCAATTTCTGATTAGGGTTTGACTTGTAAGTGTCATTTCTGTGCCATTTACTGGGAATCTTCAGGGAACTCATTAAAGACACCACTTCTTCACTGGTCTACAAAGCAAACATATGTCCCCCTTTACTTAATTCTTCTTTTTAATACCCTATAAACTGTAAATGTGAATATATTCTCAAACTGAGAAATATCATAATGGTAGTGATCAACTTAGGTACTATTGGCTAGTAGAGTGGATTATCTGGGTTTTTGGTCTTGCACTTTACATTAGCATCCCAGTTAGCTAAGCACCTGCATTGGGAAGAAGAGAAAGAAAATGGTAAAAACTAGAAGTTACACGGAGTCAGATGTTTGGTTCAAACTAAGACATAATTTTATAAAAATGCTGTCTAAAAAGCAGGCCAAATTTGGTTTTCCTTGTGAGAAAGCATTACAAAGGAAATTCCTGCAGTTAAGTAGGAATTTGGTCTACGAGGGGGATTCCTTCCAAAAAGTATTGCGATTCTTAATTCTGACCCAAATGGTAGTTTCCTAGGGTAAAAAAGGAGATAAAAACTAGTGGAGAGCTGGGTGCAAAAACACGCGCCTGTCATCCTAGCCGCTGGGCAGGCTGAGACAGGAGGATTGCAAGTTCGCAGCCAGCCTCAGCACACGCAAAGCGCTAAGCAACTCAGTGAGACCCTGTCTCTAAATAAAAAATACAAAAGAGGGCTGGGGATGTGCCTCAGTGGTTGAATTCCCCTGAGTTCAATCCCTGGTACCAAAAAAAAAAAAAAAAGAAAAGAGAAGAAAAAATAAACTAAGGGAGGGCTATGGAGGTGGCTCAGTAATCGAGTGCCTGCTTAGTATGCACAGGGCCCTGGGTTTAGTTCACAGCGCTACAAAATCTAAAAAATAAAAGCCTAACAAGAGATTATTTATGACACTAAGTTCTCACATGCTCCCACTAAGAAAGCAAGGGATCAGGGGGCTGGGATGTGGCTCAAGCTGTAGCGCGCTCGCCTGGCATGCGTGCGGCCCGGGTTCCATCCTCAGCACCACATACAAACAAAGATGTTGTGTCTGCCGAAAACTAAAAAATAAATATTAAAAAAAAAAATTAAAAAAAAAGAAAGCAAGGGATCATATTAGCCAATTTAGACTTTCATAAATATGTTAAGTTACTATAAAAGACTGAATAATCTTTAGAAAATGCCTTCTAGAATCCATTAAAAAAAAACATAGTGGGCTAGGATAGAGCGCTTGCCTAGCATGTGTGAGGCACTGGGTTCCATCCTCAGCACCACATGAAATACAAGTAAATAAAAAATAAAGGTTAAATTCTTAAAAAAAAATCCATTGAAGACTGTGAGTTTAAAATTCCTCTAAACAAGGACGTGGTTACAGTCAATTCTACTGTTTTCACACTTGGAATGCATGTGGCTATATTCTCTTGCCTTTTTTTTTTTTTTTTTTTTTCTTGCAGGGTTAGGGATTGAAGCAAGGACTCATGAATGCTGGGCAAGAGCTCTCCCACTGAACTGCACCTGCAGCCTTGGCTACACTCACCTTTGTGGCTGTTTACCTTCAAATTGCTTTTGGAGAGATAGAAATTCTGCTTACCTGGACATGAAAGTAGGGTTATTTGTAATTTACTTACCATGTCTCCCAAGTGGTTCATGCCTAGATCATATGAATGCATTCCCATTGAATGCTCCAGATTGTGAAGCGTAACAAACTTGAGATTCTTTTCCCAGATGAGACGCCTTGCTGCCTCTTCATTCTAAAATACAAGGAAAGAGAACGCAATTATACTGAATCTTGGACAAATAACTGTTCAATAATGAAAATAGCATTTTACAAGTCATTATACTAAATATGGATCTGTCTAGGAGCACAAAAATGAATGAATATATTCAATATAACTGCTAAAATTACTAATTAATCATAATTTTTGTTTTTAATTGCTTTGATGATTATTAATATTATCTTGTGGTATACATTATGAATTTCTCCTTAACATGCTAAAAAGTTTCTTTCTGGAAACTGTTGTTTATTGAAAAGTTTCTTTTATTTTTTATTTATTTATTTTTGAAAATTTTTTTTAGTTGTAGATGGACACAATATCTTTGTTTTACTTACTTATTTTTTTTTATGTGGTGCTGAGAATCGAACCCAGGGCCTCGTACATGTGAGGCAAGTGCTCTACCACTGAGCCACAGCCTCAGCCTGAAAAGTATCTTTTATAAGATGTTTTTATCCTAAGTGGCAAATATCCTTAACTGGAAACATCCTTCAGTGGTAAACTCACTTAATCATTCATATATATATATATATATATATATATATATATATATATATATATATATATGATTTAGTTGTTGATGGACCTTTATTTTATTTATTTATATGCAGTGCTAAGAATTGAACCCAGTGCCTCACACATGCTAGGCAAGCACTCTACCACTGAGCCACAAACCCAGCCCATCCCTTAATCTTTATATATCTTTATATAAAATATTTGTTTACTCTCATTCTTGAAAATAAATTTAGCTGATTATAAATTTCCAGCTACTTATCTCCAGCTATTTGAAGATATGGCTTCAATGTCTTCTGGTACCTATTATTGCAGATAAAAGGTCATTGTAATAATCATACCACTGATTTTTGTTTCTGTGGGTTTTTTGTTTTTTTGTAGATGGACACAATGTATTTATTTTATTTAATTATTTTTATGTGGTGCTGAGGATCCAACCTAGTGCCTCACATGTGCTAGGCAAGCACTATACCACTGAGGTACAGTCCTAGCCCCAACCTCTATTTTTTTTTTGTTTAAATTTCTATTCATTTTCATTTCTCTTTAATGTATTTTTATAACCTCTGTTGTTAACTCTGGTAGTTTTTGTGATTTTTCTTTCTCCTGGGTCTGGTTGTGGGCTTCTTTATTTACCTTCTGCTGGGTATTCTTGATTGGATGACTTGGGACTTTTTATCATATCAGGAAATCCTCAACCAATATCTTTTCATATGTTTTTTTTCTCCAACATTCCATTTAGTTCTTGTCTTCAAAATCACCTCTCAAATGTATTTTGGAGCCTCAAAATCTCTTTCATCTCTCTTCCTTGCATTTTCATAAAATTTTCTTTTTATTTCTGTGAGCTGTTTCTGGGTGAATGCCTCAGTATTGTCTTTCAGATTATTATTTTTTAAAATATTTATTTTTGGTTTTAGGTGGACACAATATCTTTATTTTATTTTTTTAATGCGGTGCTGAGAATCAAACCCAGTGCCTCACGCCTGCTAGGCAAGCGCACTACCACTTGAGCCCCAAGTGGGGCTTTTAGATTATTGACTCTTTCAGATTATTGACTCTATCCAACTGTTTCCATTCTGGAATTTATTCCTTTGATTGAATTTTCATTGAAATAACTTTTATTTTCCATTTCTAAGACTTCTCTTTTAGTTCATGATTTAATGTTCCATAGTGTGGTTGTTTTTTTTTTTTCTTTTACATATAGTTTTAAAAAGTCATAGAGTTTTGGTTCTATTATTTAAATTTCTGTTTTTGTTGATAGTGCTAGGGATTGAACCCAGGGCTTCGTGCATGTTAGGCTAGTACCCTACCACTGTTCTATTATTTGAATTTCATCCAGAGTGAATTGATTAAGCTGACTGTTGGTTTACTTGTCCTCCAGGAGATTCATTTACATAGAATAAAATATAACATACAATGTACTTCCTAGAATAACTAACAACCAAAGCCGGAATAAGCCTTAGGTCTAGTAATCAGTCAACAACACCTGTTCTGCCTCATTTTATTGAGTAGGGTAAGCCCCAGGGCAGAACCTGATTTTAGGCAGCAAGTCTATGCAACCCCCTCTCATTGGGAACATGTTTTTTGTTGTTTCCTTCCTCTTTCCCTTCCTTTCATCTTTTCTTCCTTCCTTCTTTCTCCCTTTCTTTTTGGTGTCTAGGATTGAGCCCAGGCACTTTACCACTGGGCTACATCCCCAGTCCTTTTTATTTTTGATTTTTAGACAGTGTCTCGCTAAATTGCTCAGAGCCTCACTAAATTGCTGAGGTTGGCCTCAAACTTGCAGTCCTCCTGCCTCAGCCTCCTGAGCTGCTGGGATTACAGGTATCCACAACCACACCCAGCTTAAATCACTTTTAGATTACTTATAATGCCTCATAAAGGAGCTGGGGTTGTGGCTCAGAGGTAGAGCACTTGCCTAGTACGTGCGAGGCCCTAGGTTCGACCCTCAGTACCACATAAAAATAAATACATAAAATAAAGGTATTGTGTCCAACTACAACTAAAAAACAAATATTAAAAAAATGTAAATGCTACATAAATAACAGTTTTACTGTGTTATTCTGAGAATGATGATAAGGGGGGAATATTTGTACATATTCGTGTTGGAATTTTAAAAAGAGACCACCCTGGTTTGGGGAAAATAAAATAAAAATAAACAAGTGTCCATTCATTCATGGCCTCATGGGGCCTGGAAAGTTTGAGGAAAAGAAAACAACAATAAACAAGTATCCAAAATCTCCCTGTGGCTACCATGCTCTGCTCCTTCCAATCCACAACAAATCATTGCTTATGTTCAACCATCTTTGGAAACTACTACAAGCAAGATTTGCAAGGTTTAAAACTAAAAGAAAAAAGAAAAGAACAACTCTCGAGAAAAATTATAAACTGCAACATCATGCTCTAAGGAAATAATCTTATAAAAGAATGGTTACAACAGTTTTCCTTACTTTTTAACTTCTGCTGGATTTCTAATTTTCCTAGCCTTGTATTTAAATGTGAATTACAGCCCCTATATGATTTAATAGGATTGTAAAAAACCGTTTTATACAAAAGAAGAAAAAAAAAGTGTTTTTTTAAAATCCACGCTGTTTGGCTGGCTATCTTATCTGTTTTTAGCTAGCGTTCTTAGCCAGCTCCTTCCCCTCCCTAATGCTGCATCACATATAGAAATAAAAAAATTTAAAAAAAAAGCAGAAAAACTGCAATCTGTATACGGGGTAAAAATGGGAGTTCATAACCCACTTGAATCAAATGTATGAAATATGATATGTCATGAACTATGTAATGTTTTGAACAACCAATAATAAAAATTTTAAAAAAAGCAGAAAATTTTCAAATGTGCAAGTTTTCTTTTTTCAAAAAAAAAAGTTGTTTTTTGTTTTTTTTTAAGAATTTCACAGGCTTCCAAATGATTCTGGTCTGAGTTTTTAAGGTATGCTCTGACCTGATTAAAAAAAGTTGATATTACTACAATGTAAGTTTTTAAATATTCTATGTAAGCTGATGGGGTTTTTCTGATTAGTCTTGTTTTTTCTAACTATAAAAGTTTTTACATTCTGTCTTTATGCAAAGGCCAATTTCTCTGGTGTTAACTCTTAAATACATTCAAAGGATTTCTTTTAATAAAACATGGTTATGTTGGAAATGAGTCTGATAACCATCAGGGACAAAAATTCGAGCTATACGAAACCATTGATTTCAATGTCCATCATGGTTATTGGATTTTATACCTGACATTTCCAATTACACAGGCCTGTCTTATTTCTATATATTATATACTTGGTATTGAATTGACACTTAGACAAATGAGTACTCACCTATTAAATTTAAAGAATTAAATGGATCCAGATAACTTAATTCAAATCAAATAATTAAATAAATATATAGATGTCTTTAAGGTTATGTATGGCTCATGGGTTTTTCTAGGTGGCCAAATAATAAAATCTTAATTTCTAAAAACTATCTGAGATATAATGTAATATCCATTACTTCAAAAACTTTTCTTCAACAGAAAAAGGATGATTAATATGATTAATCATGTTTTTCTTGTGTTTTTACATTACAATTAAAATGAGTAAATTAAACATAAATGGGATTAGTCTTCATAAATATGGTTTCTTAAATAAATTAATTAAAAATTATAGTTGGTGCCAAGCTGATCTCTCCTTTTGTTTCCAGTTGTTAAAGAAACAGGATGCTGCCTCCTTCCTTTATTTGACTCCTTCTTTATAACAGGCTTTACAGAGAATTAATGAAAAGTTATCGACAGTGATGGTGGATTGACTTCCTGTATCTAATGTGCCATTATCATTGATAGTTCTTGTTGGAAAGCCTTATGCTTTTGCAGGAGTATTTGCTATTCTTAATAAGAAGTTATATATAATAAAATGGTTATATTTTTTCTCATTTTTCAGATATTTTGTCTGAAAATATTTTATCTGTAATATTTTATCTTTTTTTTTAGTTGTAGGTGGACACAATATCTTTATTTTACATTTATGTGGTGCTGAGGATCGAACCCAGTGCTTCATGCATGCTAGGCGAGCATGCTACCACTGAGCCACAACCACAGCCCTTGTCTTTTTTTGCTGTTGTTGTTTTAATATTTGTTTTAGTTGTAGGTGGACATAATAACCTTTATTTTATTTTTATGTGGTGCCGAGTATTGAACCCAGTGCTTCATGTGTGCTAGATGAGAGCTCTACCACTGAGCCACAACCCCAGCCCCAATATTTTGTCTTTTACTGATATGTATGCTCAATTAATTGCTGATGATTATACTAAAATTTTATCCTTAACAGGCATGGATATTCATGTTTTATACCTTGCTTATGAAAAAAAACTTTATATATCTCTAATAATTACAGTTCATACTATTATCAAGTTATATTAACAGATTTTTTAGCACCTGTTGATTTTCACATGCTTCATAATGGACAATTCTCTCTGTTATATCAGTTTCCTTAATTATATCCCTTTTCCTTAATTTCTACTGTTCCACTTGTAGATGAAATAATGGTGTATACAGATGGAAGTAAACAAAGAGGAATAAAGTCTGTTTTTATTAATGGAGAATGGGCTGACTATTATACCCTACCTCAAATTTCTCCACAGTGAGCTGAGTTAGCTACCATTATCCTAATGTTAAAACTGTTTTCTACTATTTTAAATGTTATTACAAATTCTCAATGTATAGCTAAGCTTGTGCCTCATATTTCCATGGCTGTGTTATGCCCTCATTTGGTTTCCAATTTACTGTCTCTAAAACCCTTTAAACTCTTTTACAGCATCGTATGTCTCCCATCTTCCTTGCTTATGTACACAGCCACACCAAGATTTCTAGACCTTTGATGGAGAGTGACGCTTACACAGATGAAGCTATAAAATCCCTTTATCCTTTGTTTTCAGGTGCTGTGAGATCCCATGGATTTTTTTTCATCAAAATGTTCAATCACTAATAAAAATGTTTTCCATCTCTTCTCAACAGGCTCATGCTATAGTTAACAATTGTTCTGACTGTGTACTCTTATGGGCCCCTATGTAAAAAATTATGAATCCACAGAGCCTCCATTCTAATGCACTTTGGCAAATAGATGTTACTCATTTTCCTCCTTTTCATCCTTACTCCTTTCTTCGTGTTTTTATTAATCCCCATTCTGGGTTTATTTGAGCTAGGTATCTGCTTATATTTCTCATTTATTTCTTTGTTTTGCCACCAGGGGCAAGCCTATTCATTTAAAGATGGATAATGCCCCTGCATATACATCTTTTGCTTTTGCACAATTTTGTAATCAATGTAATATAATTTTAAATCATAAAATTCCTCATAATCCTACTGGACAAACTTTGGTTAAATGAGCACATTGTACTCTTAAAATTTGCCTTTTAAAACTAAAACGAAAAAGGGGTAATCTAGCATCTCTCATATTAATAATGCTTTAAATATTATTTTATTTACAGTTAATATGCTCAATATGCAATGCAAAGTTAACACTCACAATTAGTTGTCTGCTTTGGATAGACATTTTATTCCCAAACAGCCATTACTAAAAATTTATGTAAAATATAGGGTTCCAGACCCAGGATGACAAGACCTATGCCTCTGATCACATGGGGAAAAGGATAGACTGCTGTGCTTACACCAACAGGTCCTGCTTGGACTCCAGCTCCATGTATGAGATCTATTGATTGTGAATGGACAGCAGGAACTTCACAACCTGATTCCCAAGTTTCGTTTGATCTTGGATGAGGAGAGTCCCATCAAACAAAAGGACAATTATTACTCTCCTCGATAGAGAAGAAACATTAAAGGAGGACAGATACGGAACACAAAAGAGAATCCCAAGCTGCTAGACTTTCACTGACTTGGGGGGATATAAAATCATTAACAGCCTCAGCTCAACAGCTGTTGGCTCAAAGGGAGTTAAAATGTGCTCTGGAAAACTTAGTTACTGCTTTGTTTGCTAAACTCACACAAAACTCTGTAAATGTTTTGATCCTTATTATAATGTTTTTCTGCTGTTGTACCCCAGCTGTGGGAAATTTAGTACAGTCAGACTTCTGGACTTCTAGAACCTATTATAATATCTGGGTTGCTTGGCTAAAATTGTTATATACCTGCAAGAATGTCGCATGGTACTCATTGTTGTCTCAACAAATTAACTGTGTTCTCACCATCCTCGCAGGATTTAATGGGCCACCATCCTGCACAACATATTCATAAGAGTTCTATTCCCCTTGATGAGAACTGTGATGATTCCATACATCTTCTCTCTAAGGCAGAATTTGATGCTTTGGCATTTTCCTTAGTGGGTATCCCTGGACTAACTGTCGGGACTTATAAAACCACTATGAAGCTGGCCTGTGCTGTGGTAAAAAGTATTAATCCTACTTCTCTGGCCATGAATATGCTTAATGAGAACAAATACAGCACTGTCCAGCCATTCTTGACAATCAAGCTGCTATTGATTATCTGTTGTTGTTATATCATAAAGGATGTCAGGAGTCTAATAATATGTGTTGCTTTAATTTGAGTGATAACAGTTAATTCCATTTCAAAGGAGCTAGACCACCTTAGGGACATTGTTAATAAGGTCCAACAAGATGATGGAGGTTTAGACTTGTAGGATTGGCTAACTACATGTCTGCCCAATTTCACCTGGGTCAAATAATTATTCATAGGTGGATGTCTATTGCTATTGGAATTGTTGTGCTGCACTTGCTGTTATCAATGCCTTTGCTATTTTTTTGCCCCCACCAGCATTAAGAAGGAAACCGACATTATTCATCCAAAAAGCCTTAAAAAACAAAAGAGGGGAGCTGTAGGAATTCTGTGTTTGGGATTGGGATCTACAAACTTCATCCCTGTTTCATGCTTGGTGACTAGGAAGTTTCTGTGCAAAGACACAGATGCCTGGCTGCTAGGTAAAACCTGGTGACTGGGAAGCTCCTTGCAAAGGCACAGGACGCCTGGCTGCCACAGCACTGTCCTTCACAGGTTTACCCCGCTTCCCAGACCTGGGGTGTCCTGCTCCTCCCTCTGAGCTAGTAAGAAAACTCCGCTGGTGCACTACCTGGTTTCCATAGTGACATACTTTGAAGGAGAGAGGCTCTGTGTTTGTGTTAACCTGGACCTTCTCAACCAGCTAGCACTCAGGGTTAAAGGAATACCGGTTACAGTGTAGTCATTTTTTGGGTTATTAAAGAGGACAGTAGAGAGGAGTAGACACCCTTTTGTTTACCATCCTTCTGTCTGTCTGCAGCTTCCCTGTGTGTCTGTGTCTGCCCTTTATGTGTCTCCTTCACAGATCTCCCCGCACAGGAGTTCCTTTTCATAAATGAATAAATAAGAAGAGAACTTAGAGGGCTTGGGCTGTGGCTCAGAGGTAGAGCACTTGCCTAGCACGTGTGAGGCCTTGGGTTCATTCCTCAGCACCACCTAAAAATAAATAAAATAAAGGTATTGTGTCCAACTACAACTAAAAACCAAAATATTTTTTTTAAAAAGAGAGAACTTAGAATGCATGACTTACTAAGCATATCATTTTTATACAAAGCAATACATCAAATAAACATTATCCTAACTTAGAAGTATTACATAGTTATAGGACTTAGTTATTCTAAACAACGCAGCTAAAATTTTAAAAACAATCAACAAATATACTTTGAAATATAAACAAAAAGTACAAAGTGGGAAGTGAGAGTTAGGAAACAACAGTTATTAGCAATTCTAAGTTCCAGGAATGGGGTAATTGCAGTTTTTACGACTTTTTGTTCCTCAAATGTACCAAATGTGCTCCTTCCTTAGAGCTTTGCATTCATTTTCCATTGACTTGAAACCTTTACTACATTACCTATTTTGCTTGCTCCCTGACTTCTATCAATTCTCTGCTCAAATATCACATTATTTATGAGGACTTCCCTCACCATTCTAACACACACAGACCCCTCAGTGCAGCCACCACCCAGGGCCCTTCCAATCCCTCATGCCTTGCTTTATTTTTCTCTATTGCACTTCTCACCATTTAGCATACCATACATCTGCTTATTTATTTACTTATTTCTCATCTCTCCCACTATAAAATAAACTCCATAATAACTGGAAGTTCATTTTGTCTCCTGCTGTATACTACCCAAAAGAGCATTAGGCAAGAAGTAATTGCATAATATTTGTGGAAAACACAGTTTGTAAAGAATATAATTTCAAAAGGAAGCATTTTGCTCCAGTAAGAACCCCATCTAGGGCTGGGGATGTGGCTCAAGCGGTAGCGCGCTTGCCTGGCATGCGTGAGGCCTGGGTTCGATCCTCAGCACCACATACAAACAAAGATGTTGTGTCTGCCGAAAACTAAAAAAAAATAAATAAATATTAAAAAAAAAAAGAACCCCATCTACCTTTTGTCTGTATTGTTTGCCATAGGTTTTCTTCCAGAGCTGCCAGTGGTGATCCAGGGCAGGGTCTTTATGCAGCTGTGCCATTGCAGAGAAGCACACCAAGGACACATAAAGCAGCCACTTCATTCTGTTTAAGGGAAGCCTCACTGTTAGCTACATATGTTGTGACCATGTATTTTCAAAACAGAAAGTAGCAATGCAGAATCTACCAAAGGAACACACTCCTACAAATCAGAATTCTACAGGCAACTTCCTGAAGTACACAGTCAGGAGGAATATGTGTAGAATTATGTCTAAAATATTATTTCCAATACTTAGTAGCACTTTAAGAAATGATTTTCAGAAATTCCTCAGTATCTGGTAAACCAAACACACTTAGGGGTTAAAAAGACGGGACTTTTTAGGATTTGCCAATACATCTAATCTAATTTTCTAAGGGAAAATTTCCTCTTACTTTCCAAAACAGAAAATCATGCTAAAGAGGAGGATAAGGGCTGGGTGCGATGGCACACACCTGTAATCCCAGCAGCTTGGGAGGCTGAGGCAGGAGGATCACAAGTTCAAAGCCAGGCTCAGCAACCCCGTGAGGCCCTAAGCAATTCAGCAAGACCCTGTCTAAATAAAATATAAAGGGCTGAAGATGTGGGCTCTTTTAAGCACCCCTGGGTTCAATTCCCTGAACCCAAAACAAAAGAACCAAATCAAACCTAAACAAAACAAAAAGAAGAGCTGAGGGTTCTGTGTGTAGCTCAGTGGTGGAGTGCCTGCCTAGCTGCCTAGCATGTGCAAGGCCCTGGTTTGATTCCCAGCACCAGAAGGCGGGGTGGGGGAAACCCTTACAAAAAATCAATTCATCTTCTGAATTTTTGAATACCTGAGCTCATCTTAACTTCTATTTAAATATCCACAATCCAGGGCTGGGAATGTGGCTCAAGCGGTAGCGCGCTTGCCTGGCATGCGTGCAGCCCAGGTTCGAAACTCAGCACCACATACAAAAACTAAAAAATAATATTAAAATTCTCTCTCTCTTTAAAAAAAAATTAAAAAAATAAAATATCCACAATCCAATGTGTATATGTATCAAAACATCAGATTATACCCCATTAATACGTACAAATTGTATGGTTTGGTTTTTTTAATATTTATTTTTTAGGAATAGATGGACACAACACAATGCCTTTATTTTTATGTGGTGCTGAGGATCGAACCGGGGTTCTGCCCGTGCTAGGCGATCTCTCTACTGCTGAGCCACAATCCCAGCCCAAAATTGTATGTTTTTATGTAACAGTTAAAAATGCATTTAATTAAAAAATAAGTCAGGTGCAGTGGTCAGGCAGGAGGATTGTGAGTTCAAAGCCAACCTCAGCAATTTAATGAGACCCTGTCTCTCAAGAAAATATTAAAAAGCCTGGGCGTGGCTGGGTGTGGTGGTGCACGCCTGTAATCCCAGCAGTTTGTGAGACTGAGGCAGGAGGATGGAGAGTTCAAAGCCAGCCTCAGCAATAGCAATGCGCTAAGCAACTCAGTGAGACCCTGTCTCTAAATAAAATACAAAATAGGGCTGAGAATGTGGCTCAGTGGCCAAGTGCACCTGAGTTCAATCCCCTCCCCCCAAAAAGGCTGAGAATGTGGCTCAGTGATTGAGCACCCCTAGGTTCAATCCCCAGTAGCTAAATAAATAAATAAACAAAATGCCCCAAACCTTTGAAGATAGTTAAAAGGTAACTGCCATCTATTGGTTTCAAATCCTCAGGGCATTTTCCTTTTATAACTTTTTCAACAATCAAATATATATTTCAAAGAAAGTAATTATGTACTCTTTAAAACACCATTACTATATTTAATTCAAAGAACTTCAACAGAAGTTCAGTGACTAATTGCCTCAATCTGGATTCTACTTTCTTTCTCATTTCTTTTTTAATTCAAAACAGTTGGAATTTTAAACACATGAACCTTCAAATATATCCCAGAGAAAGCTAGGGTTTAGCCTCAAGCTTAGATGTTCAAGCAAATATTAACTTTTCAAAAATAGATTCTTTTAAATCAGAAAGACCAGAGACTGAGAAACATGTTTTTGGTCTACTTCCTGAAACCAAAGATTTAAAATCTGGCAGGTAGAGCAAGCTAAAATCATAAATGAGAGTGTTCAAAGACCAAATGGGGGGAAAAGAACAGACTACATACGTGATAGAATCAGCAGGTGTTCCCATAGAAAGAATTCCTGAATTGATGTGATCGCTTCCAAGATTTCAGAGTAGCAAGGAGACTTTAGTTAACTGACTTTAAAAAGAAATTGGAACTTGTCACATGAGGTATGCACAATGAGGAAGTAAACTTTGATTTCAGTTTCATTTAAAATATTGTAAGATCAACTACCTCTAGCCTGCTCCCTATTGTCTTAGGGACAGAGTGGGACAGAAAGCCATCAAGAAGAGCTCCCAACTAGAAGAGATCAATAAAACAAACTCAGTAAAGTAAGAAAAGCAGTACAAATTTACCCTTTAATTTTGTTTATGTCAACTCTTCCTCATGAAATTTTGAGTCAGTTATCAATTTCCCTGGAAAATTCTGTCAAGTTACATGTTTGGGGAGTCTGAACATAATTACTGAAAGGAAAGTGACCACAATGCTCTGAGCGACAGAGATCTGTACTGCAGCAGTGAGAAAGAGGAGAAAAGACAAAGAACGTGGGAAAGAGAGAAGAACGAGAGAGAGAGAGAGAGAGAGAGAGAGAGAGAGAGAGAGAGAGAGAGAGAGAGAGGGAGGAGCGGAGAGCAAAGTGCAAGAGAGAGAGAGGGAAAGTGAGAGAGAGGGTGAGACAGAGGGTGAGAGAGAGGGAGGGAGGGCAAAGCAAGAGAGAGCCAGAGTAAGACAGGGGGGGCAGGCAGGACAGTTTTTATAGTCAAAATCTAACGAGGTCTCTGGGTCTGCAGGCTGCCTTGTTGGCGTTCAGTTGCTAAGGGTGTCACCTTCTGCCTTCATGCAGACTGGGCGGGGCCAGATGTGGATTTCCATTGCACCCTTGAGTGGGGCTGAGGGTTCAGCCTTGAGGCAAACAATCCATAAGGAACCAGATGGGTGAGGGTCGAGTGTCCAGGCTACCCTGCTGCTACCATTTGTTCAGTCTGCTCCTCAACTAACAACACAATGTTGGATTTTCTCATTTGTAGTAGACATTTTCATGTTTGTGGCCATCTAGATTTTTCTTTTAAAGACATTTTATTATGGAAAAATGTAAGCATATGTAAAAGTAGAGATAATAGCATAATGAACCTCAATGAAACCATTATTTTATTTCAACAATTATAAATAAATGACCAATCTTTATTTATGCTCTCACTTTTTAAATTTTTATTTATTTATACTCTCATTTATTTATTCAGATTATTTTGAAATAAATCCTAGACACCATATCATTTCATATGTGAATGTTCTTGAATGCATCTCTAAAGGTTGACTTTCTTTTATAAGAACCTCAAACATGATAGGTATGTGCTCTATAACTGAGCTATATCCCAGAGCCTCTAAAAGATAAAGACTATCAATTTTTTTAAAAGAGAGAGAGAGAGAGAGAGAGAGAGAATTTTTAGTATTTATTTATTTATTTATTTTTCTGGTGGACACAACATCTTTGTTTGTATGTGGTGCTGAGGATCGAACCCGGCCAATGCATGCATGCTACCACTTGAGCCACATCCCCAGCTCAAGACCATTAAATTTAATCACAATAGTGTTATCAGATCTAAAACAGATGACAACAAATTCTTTTCTTCCTCTCTCTCTCTCTCCCCCCCTCCCCTCCCCCCTCTTTCTTTCAGAACTGGGGATTGAACCCAGGGCAGCTAGCCACTGAGCTACATTCCCAGCCCATTTTATTTTTTAATTTGAGATAGGTTCTCACTAAGTTACACAGGGCCTTGCTAAATTGCTGAAACTGGTTTGGAATTTATGATTTTCCTGCCTCCACCTCTCAAATTGATTGGCTTACAGATGTGAGCCACCACACCCAGCTATCTCTCTTTTGAAACGTGGTAAAAATTTCAGTTCTCTAAAATACCAACAAAACACCCAATTTATCCTATATTTCAGAATAACAACAAACCTGCCACCAATAAGATTATTACTGAGAACAATTTTCAGATTCTAATGGAGACATATTTAACCTCACTTAGGCCATATCCTATTAAGGATGTAAGTCAATAATTATGCTTTAAAGTCACTCAGAATCGTTTATTGTACATTTATGCCACACCTCTATACACAGGTTTATTTGTTTCCTTTTTATTTCTGATTTTTAGGGATTCTTTTACATGTTTGTTGCCGCGTCCGGCTAACGGAGCCGAGTCCGGCGAGGGACGGCGGGGTTAAAAATACACAGGACACCAAGGTTCTTCATCCAGGAGGGAGCGTGTGCGCGCTTTATTGCCAGATTTGTTCCCCTTATATATCTTTTTAACAGCTGCGGGAAATTACTCAAAAGTGAGGAGGGAAGAGTAATAACTGCGTCCTTGGGTTACCGTCACGTCACCGTCCCCTATCAGGAGGCTCGAACAGGTCAAGATGTTCCCGAGAGACACATATGTGCGAGGCAGATAAACAGGGAACCGCAAGCCCGCGTCATGGCCTTGTGAGCTGGCCACATTGACATGCATAACAAAGAACTGGGGGTTGAGTCCCCAGGGGCCAGGGCTGGCCTGCTACCAGCAGTTTGTAACTTTATTTTATTATTTTATTTTTAATTTTTTGGTTCCAGGGGCGCTCAACAACTGAGCTATATCCCCAGGCTTTTTTATTGTTTTATTTTAAGACAGGTTCCCGTGAGTTGCTTAGAGCCTTGATAAATTGCTGAGGCTGGTCTCGAACTTGCGATCCTCCTGCTTTAGGCTGCCTAGCCGCTGGGATTACAAGGCATGCACCACCGTGCCAAGTAGTAACTTTATTTTATAATTATGTGAAATATTTATTTAGACCTTAATAAAAATCAGCAAAATAAGGTATTTTCAAAGAAGTCTTGCCTGTATTTCCATCCTCTCTTCACTTTTCCCTTTCTCCTTTGATAACCATTTAAAATTCTTCCTTCCACTTAAAAAATGTGTGTGTGTGTGTATATATATATATTCCTCCTTTCTTAAATGAATAATAACATATTACACACATACTTTTTTCTTTTTTTTTCCACTTAACATTATGTTAAGAAAAATTAGGGGGCTGGGGATGTGGCTCAAGCGGTAGCGCGCTTACCTGGCATGCGTGCGGCCCGGGTTCGATCCTCAGCACCACATACAAACAAAGATGTTATATCCGCCGAAAACTAAAAAATAAATACTAAAAAAAAAAAAAAAAGAAAAATTAGGGGCTGAGGCTAGGGCTCAGTGGTAGGGCACCCGCCATGTACGTGTGAGGCCCTGGGTTCGATCCTCAGCACCACATAAAAATAAATAAAGATATTTTTTTAAAAGTTATTCAGTACTTAGAAATAGGCATAATAGATTATTAGGTATCCTTTTAGGGGAGTGCTGGGAGTTGTTCAGTGCACACTTGGGGGAGTCGTTTGATTCTATTCAACTCCAATAGGGTAGAATTAAATTGTAAAACACTGCAACTAGGCACATGATTCCTGTTTATAGCAATGCAAACAATTTTGTCTAGTAGATTTTACTGAGAATGTAAATCACTAAAATTCTTGTTTAAACCAGTTTCAATCTCTCACTGATTCCTTATTAATTAATAAGTTGAATAAAATCTTTGACATGCTCATTGTATATTTATACAAGAGTAATGTTCTCAACTTTTTGGAAACTATTTAGCAATGAAACCTTGAGATAACATATATATATATTTTTTTTTTTCTAATTTCTAATTTATTCTAATTTTCTTATGTCCTCCTAGCATCTTCTAAATAATCTTCCTATGTTTGCAGAATTTCCCACATAATAAATTTTGCTTCTCCAAGTTGAAGCCAAAACTCTGTCTCCAAACTTTCACTGCAGTTAAGGCACAGACATGGTCAACCTTTCTTAACAAGACACACCTTTAAGACATCATTGTGGCCACGTGCCATGGCACAGGTTCTTCACAGAATCCTAGCTCTTTGGGAGACCGAGGTAGGAGGATTGGAAGTTTGAGGTGAGCTGAATAACTTAGTGATGAACTGTTTCAAAATAAAAAGTAAAAATGGCTGAGGATATATGGGCTGGGGTTGTGGCTCAGCGGTAGAGCACTTACCTTGCACGTGCGAGACCCTGGCATCGTTTTTGGAGCTGGTATGTGAGAAACTAGACCCATGTGGATTCTTCCTGTTGGTCAGGAATGTCCCCAGGGGTGATATCTCCCAGCAGCAGATCTGGCATCTAGTCCCCAATATCGTGTGTGCTCAGTGGCATCATAAGATGAACAACCAGTCCACTTGATAAGGTTTGGGTTCCTAGTTACCTAATTTCCAAGCCTGACTAATTCTGGTCTTTTAGAGATTCTGGGAACCTTCCATAAGTTCTAAACAAATTATAGTACTCAAATAAATGGGCCTGGTAATGACACACACACAGGAGTGTTGAATTTGAAAAAAAAAGGCTGAGTCTCAGAAGGAAAAGGTGGTTTTCTCAGGCTGTGAACAGAAAAAAACTCAAGAAGTTGTGGAACTCTCAAGAACTTCAGATTCTCTTCTGTGTCCTTCTTTTACACATCTGATGTTTCAGCTGATTTTTTTTTTTTTTTTGCTTTTTTAGCCTTGATACATTTATATGTATTTGTACTCTCTAATATAAATGGTTCAACTTCCTTAATAAGTAAATGAGCATAAAACAATTTCTTTTCGTTAAGATAAAAATTGCAGACATCTGTTTTTACAAGGAACCATGTGTTTTTCTTGACATTATTTCTCTGCCTGGCAGAGCCTATAAACCTATGCTTAGTGCAGAGCATGAATGTGGTAAATGGGCAACATTTTCTGAGAATCACACACACACACAAAAAGCAAAAAAGGCTTCAGCCTCCATTATTGGATAGTGCCTAAACAGAACTGTGTATGAAATTATCCCTCTAGCTGTTTCAGAAAATCCTGTACCAAGTGGGGACGGAAATGAGCAGTTTTATTGCCCAGGGATGTTCTTCATAGAATGCAGAGCAGCGACTTCCCTTTAAATGTCCTCCCAGGCTTGTTTCTAAAGTTATAAATGAATAATAAATTTAGCCTGAAAGTCGAGTTGGTCCCAAAATGAACAGGCCACTTCTTTCCCGCCTACCTTTGGATTCAATAATTAAACATAGAAAAATATGGGTTTGATCAC